TCCACTTGATACTGATGAGCCGGTTTATAAATATTGGTACCACTACCTATTTTAGTCTAACTTCGTTTATGTGCATATATTCATGTTGTATCAACCTGTGTCATTATCATTCTTTCCCATGATTTTTTTAAAAAGTAGGGCATATTCTGTGTGCTAAGAAGGGAGTAAGTTAATTTCAATTTGTTGTGAAATGTGCAGCTTGTTGGTGTATTTTTTTCAAAGATGTAGACTGGTTTAATCAACCAGTAGATGGATTCGGAGGTCACTTATCCTTATTGAATTTGTGTTCATTATCAATTCGTAAAGTAATAATTATCCAGTTCATAGTTGTTGCGAATATCCTTGAAGAATGTGAGCTGATGAGAAACTTGAATGAAATAGACTTGGTTAATTCACCAAACACTTTAGTTTAAACATCATTTATTCCACGATCTAATCAATATTGCACTAATGAAAACATTTATAAAATGAATTTAACTTAGTAACGGCCTCAAAAAATTGTTGACTTCATGAAATTTAAAGTTTGTTGATGATATTGTTCCTAATGGTTTTGTGTTGCTGGTATAGACGAAAAAGTAGTCAGTTTAGATTAGAGCAGTGTAGCATTTAAATTATCTGTTCTGATTTATTAAAGGTTATTGCATCCTGCTTTTCTGAGTGAAGTCGTAGATATGGTAAAGTTGAGTGACTGAAGGTGTTTATGGTTCAAAATTGAATTTCGCGATCTTCATCATAGAGTTTTCGTTTTCAAAATGAATTGATAAACTGAAAATTAATGGAAGCTTTGAATGCATATTTATGTGACTTTCTCATTGTTTGTGTGATAATTATTTTGTTTCATATTTACACAGTCTAATTACTTCATACTTGTTTTACACCAGTTCTTATATTCGATATAAAATAGGCTTACAATTCATGGTTGTTTTTAGCCATGGATATTTGGAAATGGCGAATCTGCGTTTTCCATAGTGTCATTCATCATGTTATTCAGTTTGTTGATTGATTGTTGATATAGATTGATAGTTATTCTGTTGCTTCTTAAGTTATTTGTGATGAGGATACTTACTAAACGGTATATTTCATCATTCGATAACGTTCTTGAGAGACAACACAGTTAAATCGACCAATTTTGTTGAATTCTCTTCTGCTGTATGCAGCGAAGAGAAAATTATCTAAAAAGATGAATAAATAAGTTTTAGAATTAACAAATAAGACTTCCATCACAGAAGAATAACATGACTGAAAATCTGGGGAAGTCTCACAAATAAATAATATTCATACTTCTGTAATATCCGTAGCAGTAATAAGTCATTTCAGGTCATAGAGAATTGAACATTGCAAAGCATGGAAAAGGAGAGAAAGGTTCTGATCATCTAAAGTCGCATTAGCAAGATTTTTCAAGGTGAACTGTAGAATATTTAGAAATCTATACCATATGCTTTGTGTATTTTTATGCATATGATGTATTGACTTATTTGCATACATGTATACGTGAACCCTAATAAACTTAACTGGATGTTTTACTTGAATTCCTTATTAATTCACTAGCTTTATGTGGATCGATTATTGTGTTATGTGCTGTTTATAGAAAGTATGAGCACTTGAGTTTTTCTCGTAAGTGGTGATTATCACCTTCTGTCATTCAATGATAATTACCTATGTTATGGGTATTTTACTTACTTTTATTTGTTACTTTTAATCACATTGGTATCTGAAAAGATTTTTTATTTTATGCTTTGTTAGTACCTTGGAAATAATTCTAAATGACCATGATAGGGACTTTCAGTAATAATTATTCGTTTCAATAGAAAGTATTAGTTTTTTTGATTAAGTTTTAGTTCTTACTTTTATTCATCAACAGAACGTTTATATGTAGTCGAGAGAACGGTTTCTCTATGAAGGGTTCTCAATGGTATCACTGTCTGTTACAGCCAACAGTGTTTTGTTGAGCTATTCTGGTCATAATTGAAATCTTTAGTACATAAGTGGTGTGCGCACATTCAAATCAATCACCAAGTGATCCTAAACGTTGATTAAACGATATTTCTTATTGGATTAACTTGGGATATGTAATGTCATACAAGCGTACTTCAGTAATTTATCACAACATTCTTCGTTAGACGGATTGGTCAGTATTTTAAAAAGCATATCTCACTGTCTCCTATTGGGTAGTCACTTTTGATATTCTTCTCTATCTTTTTCAAATTATCACAAGAGGAAAAAGTGTCTAACTGATCTTGATTTTTGCATCAACGCTTATTATGAGCATTTCATTACATGACGTCTATTGTTTCAAAAAGAGTAATTCGTTTTAACTGTTCCCCTCCTGATGAAGTTACCATCAAAATCTGAAAGGCTATGAAATCCGGGATAAGTTCATTATTTTTCTAGGTTCGCTGGTGTTTTAGTACACTATTCGTTAATAATGACCAAGATTATCTTGGGATCTGATTTGTAAGCTCAATAAGTGCTTCTATTCTGACACTATACATACCTTAAGTTAAGACTTATCGCTTCTGTGTTCCTCGACCAGTGATGTACTGTACTTTTTCTTTAACTTTGAACAAATGTCAATTAACTTGCTATATCTTATCGACACACAAAATGTAACTAGTGTATCTAAAATGGGCGCTAAGTTGATGGTATAATATATATTCAGCTTGTTTACAGAAGGCTTGTTTGACATTTGCCAACTTGTGTCATGTGGCACGGGCGAGTTATTTGACTATCTGCCATAGGACGACTATACTGCGCTGCTGTCTGTTCTGTCTCGTTGTACGTCTGTGAGACATGGTCGGTGAAAGTAGAAGACATGAAGAGATTATAGGGTTTTAATTACATGTTTTCGTTATATCAATCGCGTATGGTGGAGTCACCGTGTGAGCAATGTTGAAATCAGGCGAATGGTACTAGACAAGACTGGTAAGTCGATTGATTGGGTTGTGAACCTTAGTTGACTGAAATAATGGGACATATACTTCGCATGCCGAGCCGCTGCCTACCTCGACGTGCTATGCCAGGGGAAGTTGGATTGGGTTGGAATAGGGCTCAGGGTACTCAGATGGGGACGTGGCATCAGTCGATGAAGTCTCTTACTGTTTTTTTCTAAACCATGTGGGGAGATGTGGTCTACCTGGTTGCGTTCGATGAAACGAAAAGAATCAGTGGTTGAGGGCTCTTGTTGACATTGCTGAAAATTGATCACAGTGACCCAGATGTATTCATTCCTTGACATCGAAAGCTTGAATACCTTCAGGTTGTTTACTCTCTTACATAACTTTATCTTCCTTGGTATCACTCTTTTTCTATCCAACTGTTCTTTGTGTACTAGTGTGAAGTGTAGTGACTTGATCCAATGCACTCCTGTGAGAGGTTACACGTTGATGTAGTCCGTCAGTCACTTTCTGACTCTGTTTTGGAAGGTTTTTTTTGGCCAAAATTCCACCTGTATTATAGCTGTTTTTGGTCTGGTTTAATATTTTCTTGAATTATTTCCTTCAGTTTATTTAGAAATAGCCACTGCACCAAGTTTAATGAATAATGAGTGTGAATTGAGCGCTAACATCCGCTTTCTTGATGTAGTGATTTCGTTCAGTCTTGTGATTATCCTCAATAGTTTTTCACGTCTTCATGATCAGTCGTTCAAAAAAGACCTGGTTTGTTTAGGAACTAAAAAATGGAAAGTCTGTTGTTTATTTCATACTTCCACTAGTTGTTATAATTCTCGAGGTTATTTGGGTAACATCCTAACATTATTGAGAACGAATCTAAACTGTTAGAAATCATGATCAACGATACTTAGTTTGCTTCATGCCCTCAGCCATCTGCTGTTTTCTCACTCACATGTCTCCTAATTTTTCTAGGTGTCTTACGCATTATATTCTTACGACGGCTTTTGGCCGTCTTCTTATTGCTAGATGAATGCAGTTCGGTATTTCATCGATTGGTTTAGAATCTATCCTTTTTTTACTTTCCTCAATTTTTAAGTGTTTGTGGATTTTCTAGTCTTAGTTTTATTCTTAATGCATTTCTTCACCATCAAGAATCAGTTCACTGGTGCATGTAAGTTAATATGTTCATTGGAAAGAAACCGTTGAAATGTTCTTATTTAATCATGTTTTATAAGTTAACAGCACTTTCCCTAGCTTAACAGTAATTTCTATGTTTTTCTGGTCCCCAAAACTCAATTTATTGACAGGTAATCGTTTTTTAATTATATATATTGGTTAAGGGGAAATTGCATATTTCAGTTATTTGACGAGTGTAATGCGTCCTTCAGTTGACATTGCTATCGAATCAACGTACATTGCTGCCAAATATGCAGTAAGTATTGTCAACGTGATTTGTAAAATCAGGTTGACAATCAACTGCCTATTCGCACCGATACCATAGGTTCATATCATTATGCTTACCTATCACATCACATTCATTGAACATTAATTTTCAGTAACTACTAAAAACTGTAGCCCACTTTACCTGTTGATTATTTCATTTACAACATCTTATTTTCAAGCAGATGGTCAATTGAAGTTCATTTAGGTGTTTAATGCGGTCATTGACTATAGTTCTGACAAGTATAGTTTAGATATGCAAGGAGCTATGAGCCTAACAGAAATTACAGATACCGGGAAGCATTAATCTTAAAATGTCACCCTTCTGAAGATGTGTCTATGTATGTTTCTTGGAGGCCTGGGTCGATAAGACTCTTGTTGATAGAGATACAGACATTAACAAAGGATTAATATAGGCGTAAAACTTGGACACTGTGGTAGAATTTAATTCTATATTCGATTTGTCTATTTGATTTATAATACACAGTGATATAGTATCATTTACTTGGTGACGTTTCGTGCATAAGTTATTGCTCATAACAAAGGATTTCTATTCTGCTCTTTAGTGCAGTAAATCTTTTTAATTCATTATTTGTGTGATGGGGATTTTGTAACATCAGTTTTCTGTGCTGTTCTGATTAGCTCGTTCCCACTCATCTCATCTTTCAGGGCTCTGGTGAGTCAAGAACAAATGAAGTAACACATACAAACAAAGTTCAGAAAGAAAATGGAATAATCACTATCCACTCGAAAGTTGCGCCGAATTCAGAAAGTCAAGATAGTGAAACTAAACTTTCCTCTCGAAATACTTCCAATCGGCTTGTAAATCATGATGTTGATACAGATGATACAAGCAAAACTAAGACAAATAAGACGACTTCACTTCGAACCAACGATCGAAATGGATCGAAACAGCTCACTACTACTCCTTCATCAGCACCCGCGTACGTCCACTCTTCCGAAAACAATAAGCAAGATGCAGATATGGCTTTGCATCAACAGCCTCGTGAATGTCATGAAGCCAACAAACATCGTGTTAATTCTTCTTCAAAATCGTTTGTCCATCCATCTGATGCTGTTGATGACACAGCATCACCAGCATCTAAACCTAATATACTTAACCGGGCAGATCATTCTCGCCCAGTTTCTATAGATCCTACTCCATGTGCACAAAATAAACCGTCTACTACTCTCCCTTCTCCAACTATTCCGCGTAAAGCGCTTCCATCATTTCATTTCCCTCTTGGCACTACTCGAATGTCTACTGAAGAAATTAATACGGAAATGGAACGTGTTAAACAAGAACTTAGTCATTTTACTGATTCATCCACCAATTCAGGAAAACATTTTGAACAGCTGGTTCCTCATTCATGTTTTGGTCAAGTGGCAAAGGTAAGGAAAACTGTATAACTTTCCTATTTCACGTATAAATAGATCTTTCCGAATTTTTTAACTATCAGTGTGATAATTTAACTGAGGCAAATAAGGTGATTAAATACATCGTGTTACTTCAATATAGACAGCAAAAAACAAAGTTGGATCTTGCGTATAAGTGAACCGGTTCAAGTTACCGTATTTCACTAAGTGTTCTCTTGTTTCACCATGTCACTGTTCACTCATATAGTTTGTTGGGTTTCACCATAATGTACGTTTACAACTGTTGAAATAAAAATGCAAAAATTTAAATAGACTTACCTAAAGTTCTGTATTAAATTTCATAGAGTATATGCGAGTTTTTTGTTGCCTCAACATTGAATGCGGTCTATATACTGTTGTCTGTTCCCGCCCACTTTGCATCATTCTTTTTGACTTGACAGATATTTGTATTATCTGCCACTTTTCCTGTAGAGTTTGAGCAGATGATATCACATTTCATTGATTTTCACTCCTGACCAGTCTAGTGATATTTTTTCTGAGAGTCTAGTAATGTGAAAGATCAAATATCAGCTATACTAATGATAACAAAAATAAAGGGAATATTCTAAATAGTAGCAAAACCAAGATAAAAGTCCCCTATCCCTTTTTGAGCTGTGATGTATCATTCGAAACAACCTACTTTCAACCAATAGTTTGACTGTCGACACTTGTCCCACCTACCTAGGTTTCGGCAATCCTGCGGTAGCTTAATAAACTTTCTCAAAAGTTGAAGATCGTTAGGTAGTTATTTGAAGCTACATGTACTTTCTGAGTAGCAAAAGTAAAATCAAAGAATCTCTTTTCTTTACACAGCATAAATTTATGTAGAAGATAAAAATAACTAGATCACGATCTTTAGAAGCTTGGACTTTGAGTTCAATCCATCAACGTCCCAGTTTTCTAGGTCAGGTCATCCATCTAAACAAAAAAAGTTAACAGAAATGATGCTGGATTAAAAAAAGGACATAATAACTGTGCAAATTAATAATATACAAGATGTTTGAAGCAATTGGTTCCTTTAATAAATTTCGATAACGCTATTAAAAGACGAAGATTATCTGAAAAAGGTGGTGTATTTGCGCAATACATTTCGAACAATCTGATCACACATTTACTTGTCAAGTCAATTTATATATATATGAAAATGAAAAGTCAAATATAATGAATATGAAACGGTTGTGACACTAGTCTAGGTAATATAATCAGATAAGGATTACCAAGGTAAATTAAGTGAAACAACAAATTGTTTTTGTAATCACAGCTGCGGCTTAAGTTTACGAATGGCTAACGCTTCGGCCCCTCATCATCGTCAATATCAACATAGGACCAGGCATTACTGCGTAACGGTCCGAGTTGCCACACCTCATTTCACTACATCAAGTAGAAAGCTAGTGAAGTGAAGTGAAGGATGAAGATAAGAGAATGCAGTCGAAAGAAATATAAGGTACGAGAAGAAAGAAGGAAGAATGGCAAAATGGTGAGAATCGGAATGGTGTTAAGATGAGGATAATGTGTGTGTATACATCTGCGCCACTGACATTGGTTCTGAGCCATATCCCCTAGAGTCTCCTGATTATTCTTGTATAATATCTTGAAGGCTGTTTTCGTAATAACCTTATGATTCATTTCAGTGTTATGTTTTGCTATAGATAACGAGGAAGTCTGTCACCTGCACTTATCAATGTTTGTGCTAAATTGCTTTTTAAGTCATTTAGGTATGTTTTCACCCACCCTAGTTTGCATTGAACACTTACTTTTCCCATACATACATGTAAATTGATGATGATGGTAAGATAGATGGAACGGTTTGAGATTTAGTGAAATCGCACAGATGTATTCACTTCTTATCATAATCGAAATTTTGAGTAATTCTTCTTCGTTTACTTTCTTCATCTACATCCCTTCTCACTTTCAATTGTGAAAGTCAAATGTTTTCATCTTGCTGATTATTTATGATTCACATTGCTTCTTTTTGAACTCTATATGTTTTCAGAGTTGTTTTGAAAAATTTATTTTAGGCCCTTAACTGTCCACTTTACTGGAAACATGCTATTTATATGAATTCTGGTGGTACGTCTGATCGACAACCCGTATCTTTATCAAATATATTAAAAACATGGTCTCAGTAAGTCAATGCTATTTCATTTTCCTCTGAATCCTGTATTTAACTTAAGTTTCCATTAAAACTATGCTGGTCCCAGTAAACAAAATTCCACCATATGTTCTTTACAATTTCTATGAAACTGGAAGAAAAGTCAGTACTAAATTGGTTTTCTGTACTTTTTTTTTCGAATTTATCCTATCGCACATACAAATAAATGCAAACAATACACGTATATTGATTCGACTGATTGACTTTTTTCACATATACGTGTTGTGATTTACGCTTTTGTTGTTGCTTTCAATCAATATGCATTGCGTTTTATTTGTTTTTCCTGTGCATATTGAATAATTTCTGTACTACATGCAGTAGTAACTATGATCTCCGTTGAAATCAGTTGGTTTTAAATTGCTGTTTTTTAACAATATAGTTAGGGATGGCTCTCAGCTGACAAAACCACCTACTAGAATAGTAACAGATTGCTCAGTTAGGAAAGGGGATGGTTGTAATGGAGATGTTGAACTTGACGGACTTGGAAATGCGAATAATCGTCTTTATGAGTGATCTAACTAACTCGTTCAAAGTTATTGTACTGGCTGTGAGATTCAAAGCTTTTAGGTTCAACATTGGAATAGATAACAAAGTGTGAAAATGCGAATGATTACGGGTTAGAAGTCAATACTCACTTATTTTCCCTTTATTTCTACCTGTCTTTTAATCAATGTCATATGTTAGTGAAAACGTGTCAACTAAGTGAATCCTCAGTGTTAGGTTTCTGAATACTGATCTGTTGGTATTAGTCACTTATTCAGAGATAATCTTTCAGAAATAGTAGTGTTTAATGGTGACTTGAGTGATACATGTAATTAGAGACGCACAGATTCATTGCAGATAATCTTGAGAGAAGGTTACCAACGCGATAATTTTCGTAAGTGCTCTATATTAACCCAAATAGAGGAATATGAATAAAGAAGCCTTAGAGTAATCAACTCAAGTTATGGCATCGATCCAAGAATTATTTCACTGCTGAAGGCATAGTCCTTGCGGTTAACATCCATGGCACAGCATAAATTGATGATTGATTAGGTCATGTAACTAAGAATCACTTACGAGAGTGTGATTGTGTTCACTCCACTTTTTTTAATCTTAATGGTATTACGTATTTTTTTTATATTGCTCAGTAACTTCATACTGAAGTTAGTGCTGATGTCGTCTAGAAGGACGATGAGAGCTTCACGATTAAACAACCCAGCTTAGAGAACACAATACAACCAAGACTTACTTAGAAGTTGAACTGTCGATTTGCTTTTTTTACTACCAATATACAATAAGCTTATGGAGTATAGCAATAGCTTAACATTTGCGATGATCACCTTCAAACTATATGAGCTATTTTCAGCCCCTTATACGCATATATAGAAACAGCAACAGGTGTCGATTACACGGAGATTACCACATGTGTGATTAACACGTTCATCTTTTATATTGAGTAGAAGTTATTTACAATTGAATTTCGTGTTCATATTTCTCTAATAGTACCTAATTGTAGTTTATCGATAAGTATTTTGTTTTTATTATATCTTCCTATCTTTCATTTATATTTTTAGTACATTGAATACGTGTCCAGATGAAGCTTCAAAATTTGTTCATTTACTTACACATGGGCACGCCACTTTCTTGGTACAATCAGATTTTAATTCTCTCATTCAGGTGAGTGTTTTGTGTGGTTCGAACTACACCATTTACTCCTATTACAAATAAGTTTTCAATTTTTGGAGAATGTTATTGACTCTCTCAGTATCATATTTAACTTCAAAAAAGAGGACAAGAGGAACCAGTTGCTGGAGAGTCTAGGGGATATGGCTCAGAACCGATGTCAGTGGCGCAGATGTATACACACACATTATCCTCATCTTAATACTATTCCGATTCTCACCATTTCGTCATTCTTCCTTCTTTCTTCTCGTACCTTATATTTCTTTTGGCTGAATTTTATTTTCTTCATTTTCCACTTCACTAGCTTTCTACTTGATGAAGTGAAATGAGGTGTGGCAACTCGGACCGTTACGCAGTAATGCCTGGTCCTATGTTGATATTGATGATGATGATGGTAACTTCAAAAAATAGTATCAGCTATCAACGTTTCTATGCATATGATATATCAGTTTATCTTGGTTTCTCCTGATTGGTTACTTCATGAAAGTTGAGTAACTTGCGTTACTGTATTACATGCAAGAATTATAGCAGTGTAAAGTTAATGTTCGACCGTAAAAAGATTATTTTCTTCTTTCATACATAAGTTGACCAACTGAATATTGGGAAAATGTTTACTACTTTTTATAATTTCAATCAAAATTTTGATGTAATATTTTAAAGATTAGTTATTCCTACAGATATGAGTATGAAACATGTGAATGGTTGAACACTGATTTCGATAAGCTTAGGTACTCCTCTTGCCAGATATGAAATTTATAATTTGTAGTGTTGGAATACGCCGCAGTAAGATAATGCATACTAGCATGCCTTTTAAAGTTCTATGGTTTATTCATTTTTTTTATGAGCTTAGTTTTATTAAAGTTAATTTCTTATGCCATTATCATTATTGTCGGGGAACATAACTCAAAATCAATGTTGGTGCAAATGTAGCCACATCCTACTTTCATCTGAATCTTATAATCATGTCTCTATTTTTTTCCCCACCTACTTTTCACTTACATATTGATTCTGCTCATATTTACTGATGTTTCGTGCAGTGACGTCAACCTATATATATATGTCTTGTACTACGGTTTTCCTTCTGTATTTTTTATGCAAGAATGTACTGACTGGAAGCGCTTACATACTATCTTCAGGTTGTAGTAGATTTTAGTACATCAATTAGTCATTTACCATGCTGTTTTACAAACTATTCATATTTAGTTTTTCCTAGCTAAAGATGAAACACCCTTTGAGAATAACTCAGCTAGACATAATTTCACAGTAGCAGATTCGACTAAGTGACCACTCGCATTAAGGTGTAAACTACACTTTCCGTTTAGGAATTAGCTGTACTACTTGTTATATGCTTAAACCTCTTGGGGAACTGTATTAAAACTGTAATTAAACGAACAAAAGTTATAGAATATAGATTTTTATTTCTTTTCCGCTATTTGAGTACAACACATCTGAATACAATGTATTATAGAGACATTGATGTTCAACACTTTTGTTTCTAATGTCTATGTAGCATCTGCTTTACAATAACAGAAATAAACCGTCACATGCAAGTTTAAGGTTGTATATTATCGAAAAAATAGTAGTATCTTTCGTGGTTTAATTTTCATAGGAAAAAAGAAAATTTTTTTTTTCGGTGTTAGGAATGGAAATTCATGAATGCCACCGTCAAAGGAAATGTACTTTCACTGTTCGAATTTATCTACTCACTTGTGATAGTATGCCTATTTTAATGGTGAAAAAATTACTTGAATCGTAATTCTAAACTGATCAAATTTTGCTAAAAATACATATGTTTATATTTACTTTGTCTATTTAAGGAAATAATAGACGTAATTTCATATTTCTAAAAGTAGTGCTTTTACACCATCTGTCGAATAATTACTATTTTAAGACAACTTCAAATTTAGATTAGTTATCAACTAAATTCTTTAGGAATACACCTATAACTTCCACTTCCTATGTAATCAACAGATGAATATTACTGGTCAGTTAGGATGAAAGTAATGAAACAGAGCTTTTTGTTTCTGTGTTTGTAAAACCTTGTTTGTTTTCTACATAACAATTCGATTATGATTATTATAAGAGCAATATATATCATATAAAGTTTTAGATTGCCTAACGTTCTTATTTCTATTCGCAGATTCATGTTTGTTCATATTGATTTCTTTTCCTCAAAATAACTACACAAAAAACCTTTAAAAATTTGCTTTTATTTCTTCTTTATTATTTTTATTAGGATATTTTAGAAAGTCATCCTGGTTTAGCTTTCTTAGAGGCAGCCAAAGACTTTCATTCAAGATATGTAGCAACTGTTGTTGCACGTATCTTCTTCAATGTGAATATTTCATGGTCTGGTCGTATTTCTTTGGGTGAATTGAGGCGAAGCAATTTTCTTTCTGTGTTAGCCAGCCTTGAAGTTGAGGACGATATCAACCTGGTCACGCAATATTTTTCGTATGAACATTTCTATGTTATTTATTGCAAATTTTGGGAATTAGATGAAGATCATGATTTAATTATAAGTCGAGGTGATTTGGCACGGCATAACAATTATGGTAGGTAGACTGTTATTAATAGCGTTATTATTTGTTGTCTACTATCTATCGTGTCTTCATGTATTTCATAACATTTTCTCATGAAGCATTTTATTATTGTTTGATATTATTGATAGTTATGCTGAATTGATAGCCTTCGATATATACGATTGAAAGGTAATAACAATTGAACAAGACTTTGCGAATTCACATCATTAACTGGCTCATTGTGATGTTCTGTCAAGCCTAGTAACAGTGATTAGTTCGACCCTATTTCATCAAAAGATTACTTTGTTGCTTATGTGTCATATCAAATGCACGAAACTTATCTCTTTAGTTCTTGCTGTCCAGCTAGTTCTTCAATTCTACTTCTTCTTAATTAATAATACGAAATTGAATAAAGCGGTGTTGTTGGTTGTCTAAGTTTGTTTATATTTTGATATCTTAATCGAGTATTAGTTTGGTGCTGCTGAATTACTTCAATTTCCTAAGTATATTAACAAAGGTATCTAAGTAGGTGTTTTGCAAAATTCACAGTTGAACAGAACCATTCAATGTTTTAGAGCTTATGATAAACAGATAAATCAGCATTGAACTTTGAACAGAGGTGCTTCATTTCAAGTTATCTCACTTCACAACAGCACATAAGAATGCAGTTAGAAAAAAAATATTTTACTAGTAAACAAAAGTGTATAAGAGAAGAGAATGTATAAATTAAGATTAGCAAAAATGTTCAAAAATTTGAAGATATTAAAGTGTGAATGCATCTGGGCCAACTGTGAATTTTGAGCTTCATCACTGAGATTCTCCAACCATTTATTTTTGTTAGAACTCATATGTACGAACGAAAAAGGTTCTAAAGCTGATCTGGTTACCATTATCTTCCTTCTTTATTAATAATAATGTGCACTTTATTCGAAACAATTTTTCGTTACAGTTTGAAAATTTTTTAAACTAACCCCAGTCGAGCTAACATTGCACTCTGAGGTAGATAATGGTTCGACATATAAAGAATATATTTTCTCTATTTGGTCGAAAGTCGGTGACTTTTTGACACTGTTCACCTTTGTAAAACATGTCTCATAGCAAAGTGTTCTGCTGCTAAGTATGTTTGTCATCTAATAGACAGTTGCATATTCCGTAAACGATGCAAGTTGAAAAATGTCATGAAAGGCTTTGTATCTGTTTCTATCCAGTTACCAAGATATGAGTAGTCATGTAATATAATTCACTGTTATAAAATAAGTGTGACTTATGGCCTAGCAAATGAACTGTTATCTGGTTATTGAGCTGCATTATTTTTTACTGCTATCGTGTATAGCAATTAAAAATATATGTTAACAGCGTCATGCAGTTTCACGTTTCACTATCTAAATTGATCTAGTCATCTGAGGGGTCTGTGTCGCCAGTTATTTACGTAGATTGATTTGGTCTGAAATTATGAACCCATAGTTTATTGTTCTAGTGTACAGACTTTTAACAACCAATTTAAAATGACTTAATCAGAAATATCCAACATATCAACTTCAAGTTAATGTTTGGCGTTTCTTCATGTTGATTATTAAGAGACTAGTTTTTGGTATCTGTGAGCAATTAATTTCTCCGTGTTGTTGGTAGTTGGCATTTTGCAGTTACCTGATATCTGTTGTGTTATAACTTGTTTGTAATCAGTATTTCTGGTTACTGTCATCAAGTTCAGTAGGGACTGGTTTGTCTGAAATCCTTGAGTTCTTCATTATTTAGTTCTGACGGATTTCAGAGTATCGAAGGAAAATGTTCGTTTAGCTCATAATCCTTTAATAACTGGTCAGGGTTAAACTTGGACGGAATATGTTTCTTGACCATGTCCACTATGGATCATACGCTCTCTGTCAAAATCATGCACTACTAGTTGCTTATCCTAAAAGGATTCTATTGTTGTGTGGTAATATAAGAATACTATCTTATGGCTATTGATCGTCATCATCATGAAAGTCAACATAGGACCAGGCGATACTGCCTAACGCTCCACTTTGCCACACCTCATATCAGCACATCAACTAACAAGGCAATAAAATGGAGTTTAAAGCAACTGGTTCCTGTGATAAATTTAAACAGCGTAATGAGAAGACGAAGATTATTTGAAACATGTGATGTATTAGCACCATACATTTCGAATAATCTGATCACACATTGGCTTGCTAAACTATTTACATGGGAATTTACGAAAAGGATCAATGAAGTTAGTAGGAAACAAAGGAATAGGAAACAAAATCTTGATCACGTTACTCTTTGTTTTTTAAAAGATTTATTATCATGTACTGATAAAGTTGGATTCACATTCGAAGGTGAACACTTTCAACAGATTGGTGGCGTCGCGATGGGTAGTCCATTAGGACCGTTGCTAGCCGATGTATACATGTCATGTATTGAAAACATGGCTGACGATCTCATCGGAAGCGTTTCACTTTATGAGATATGTCGATAATATGATGGTCATTATATGTGAAAAGCCTGATGGTGCGATGTATCTGCTAGAGATGAACACGACTCAAAATCACATTAGCCTTACTTGTGAATAAGAGAAAAACAACCAGCTACCGTTCCTAGACATATTGCACAGTCGACCAAAGGACGGCTCTATATATAGGTAACCTACATGGACAGGGCAATATCTTAATTTCCATAGCTATTACCCAATCCAATATAAACGCGGTTTAGTTAGATGCTTATTCAACAGGATAAACCGCATCTACACCGATGACACCAAGGAGGAAGAAACTAACTTACTGATGACAACACTGATACAGAATGGATATCCGTTGAAATTTGTCGATAGGCGTAGAACGTTTGTACCATTGAAAAGTACACAGTGTTCCGTTGCTAAGAAAAATGTCTACATCCCGTTACCATTTAGAGGTGTTTCACATAGCTTTGTTGTGACGAAGAGACTTAGATCAGCCATCTGTAAAACGTATTATGCAGCCAAGGTCATCATTGTGGAGAAGACAAAGCCCATGTTACAGAACAAACCAAAACAACGTATAAACGATTACATCACATCCCACTGTGTTTATCAATTTACACGTGTGTGTGGACACATCTAGGAAGGAGTAATCGTGATATGCAGTTAAGGAAGGTTGAACATGTACCTAAGTGGCTTCAAAAACAAATGACCTCAACAGATCTTCGTCTGTCGCCAAACATATACTCAAAAACTAACCATAGGATAGACATGAAAACAGACTTCAAAGTACTATATAAATGTGGTCAGAGCCGAGTGCTTAAATTTATTGAAGCTTTTGCCATCCGTAAATCCAAACCCTATTTATGTGTACGAAAACAATTTGTACTCACGTTGAACCTACCTTGGTAGTATTGGCCTTTTCCTACTTACTTCATTGACCCTTTTCGTCAATGTGTGATCAGGTTGTTCGAAATGTATAGCGCTAATACACCACATGTTTAAAATAATTGTCTTCTCATTACGCTGTTTAAATAAAATGGAAGATAGAAAAAGAAAAATCGGTCAGAGGAAGTAGAAGTGGGAACTAGAAAAAAAGAGGAGTGAAGAATGAAAAGGTGATGAGATTTATTATAGCGGTCAAGATGAGGATAATGTGTGTATGCATCTACGCGACTGACATCAGTTCTGAGCTACATCATCTAGAGTTTACAACCACCGGTTTCTGTTGTTCGTCACACCCCAACCGGTATCGCTCCACGTGGTTCAGACCAACAGTTGAAGGCTGCATGCGTCGATGCTGTCTTATTCTGTTCGCTCCAAGCTTTTTTCCGGGCTGAGCCTACTTCGGCCAACAATGCCCGACGAGGCATACGTAACGCACATACCAGTCATTTCTGTTGATGACGGTTCACAACCTAATCAATTAAATTTCATCTCTTCCCCAAAACTCTACAGTTGACTCCTGCATTATCGACGTAGTGGTACCACGACAGATGACGTATTCTAGAAGGGTGACGGTGATAAAACACGAGAAGCTTTCTTATTTCCTCTGCCTTCAGTGGTGATGTTTCACAGCCATACAGTAGCATAGTACGAACTGCAGCAGAGTATACTCGACCTTTAACAAGAAATCGAATATCATGGGGGCTCCATAGAAGGTGTAAGTTGACCAAGACCAATGGAAGTTTTTTTATCCGTGCAGAGATTTCATCGGGCACTGACCCACCATGGCTGATCCGACTTCCCAGGTAAGTGAAATATCAAACAAACTCAGCTACTTCGCTCTCCATTGTTCGGCGGAGTATCGCTAAAGCCCAGTCCTGGTGCGATAATTTGCAATTGGGTGCAGAGAAACGCATCCCAGACATTCTCAAATTGACATTCAAGGTGTCCAGACGACTCTGCGTTTTGTCAGCGTCTTCACCTAGCATGATTATGTCGTCTGCGTATTCTGAGTCTGCCAAAAATTCTGTGATCAGGTCAATCCCTGTGTAGTCAGATGACGACAGGGAGACCTCCATGAGAACATCTATGATAAAATTGAAAAGGAGTGGACACCACTCTACGTACACAACTCACCCAACATCACCATAGGCTCTAATACACCAACAGGTGTTCAAGTAAAGAGCCTTCATTGGTGTTATGTACATACTCGATACCTCTTTCGATGAGAGTCACTGCCATAAGACTTCCTGATCTGGATTCTTGACAATTTTTTCATAGGTTTAATATGTACTTAACAGTTTGTCATCGTGCTCAGTAACACCACAAGTTTCAGGAAACTTGGCCTGAAAATTTCACATACTCGGTTATTTTCTTCCTTACTATTTTGGAAAATTCAAACTTATAAAAACTTATACATAAATAGTTTATGCAGTGCGTGTGAGTCGGGATCGGCATTGAAAAAGATGGGTAGGGTAAAAGCGACAGGTAACAGACAGTTGACTAGACTAATGAAGGCAACTGGGACATAAATTTCAATAATTATTAAGACAGTAGCAGAGAAAGACAGGTATGAGATTCACTGGCAGGTTAGATGACCTGAACGATGTATGGAACGTTCCTAAGAACAGTTCAACTGATCCCCGGCTACCATTCCCTTTCTTGCTACCTAACTGGGTCCTGAATGGAACACTGCGATAGGCCTTCCCGCTCTTGGAGAAGTTGAGAAGGCTACAAATAACCTGAAATAAGGAAGGGTAGCAGGTCCTAGTTGGCATAACTAAACGTATTTAAGGAAGACGCTGACTGACTATTGGTTGCAGTAATTGAAGTTGTGGCTATTCTACGGAGATCAGATATGATCGCCTGTGACTGGTGTCACTCGCTGACTGTCCAGTTTTCAAGAAAGGAGTAAAATCCTCTTGTGATACCCACAGTGAAGTCAGTCTAACAAAGATAGTGTCTAAAATCCTAGGTTCCATAATCTCTCGACGCCTAAGCGAAGCTTCGAGTCAGCGAACCCTACAAAACCATGCAGGTCTCAGATCTGGCCATGGTATACCGACTAGATCTTCACCCTCCATCAGATCTCGGAATAGATGCACGCTTACCGGTGTATGACGCTACCTGTAATTGACTTGAAAGTAACATTCAAGTCAGTCGACCGATAATTCTTGTGACAGTTTCCGACACTGAATGGGGTACCGAGTGAGAAAACCATCTTGCCGAAGGCTCTATATTCGCACAATCTTGACAAGTTCATGTTTTAAATTTATCTACAAGGTCAAAAGGAATGTATCAATGACTATGTGTTCACCTCATTTGCTTTGTCGAAACTTGAACAATCTGTACTAAAACCAGAGCTTTGCATGTAAAAAGAACTTGTTTCTAACCACCTGTTTTCCTTCTTCCAATCTGGTAACGTCTTATCTATTCTCAACTCCTACTTGTTTCTATGCTTTTTGATAAGGATTGACTCTTCAAGTATTTTATTATGTTATACAACTCATCATCAAAAAGCATTCACTATCCAACTTTTATTAGACTGCGATTGGTATTCATTATCCTTTCCTTTATGGTCTTTGTTTCTATGCCCTGTAGACAAAACAAACAACAAAATTAATTTTAGAAATTGAACATTTTTACACGCGAAAATTGTCTATAATTGTGATTGTACAGCTTTGGGAATGAATTCTCTCGAAAGAAACTCATCACTAAATTACTCTCCGTTTACTTGCATTAAAAAAAGAGGGTTTCGGTACTAAACTCGGGTACGAATAACTTAAGCCCTATGTTTCGTTATGAATTTCGTTTATCAATAAACCTCCAAATCATTCTCTCAACTTATACTAGGTATTAAGAAAGCTTTATATTCTACTAATTTTTATTGTTTTTCATAATCCACTTTAAATGAAAATTACCTTTATAAGTTTTTATGAAGCGCATATCAATGTCATCTGTCTATGAAGTTGACTTCATCGCTTAAACTGATATCAAAACGCAACCGTATAATCATCGTAGCAAGCGAATAAAAACACTATTTCATTTTTCCACTGTTAACTTCAATTCTAAATTTTCCTCCATTTATTCAATTTTTTTTCAGCTATCTCAGAACGTATGATAGACCGTATATTCAGCGGAGCTGTGACAAGGTGAGATACTCAAAAGCGAAAACAAAGCCGATATATATATATATATATATATATATATATATATATATACATATTGTGTAGCTAGGCAACCATGAAAAAGTTTATGATTGGTGCTCATATTTTACAGTTGCTGAAATGTATATGAGAATGGTAGATTGTTTCTTATTGCTTATTTTTTGCATTTTTGGTTCTTTTTTGTGGAGAGCAAAAAGATAGAAACTTGCAAAATAAACTGATAATTTAAGGAATAGCTATTCTGGAGGTGTATAGACAGGAGGAAGACAAAGGTGCCTACTATCACCAATGGTCTTCCTGATTATGGTCGAATGGATCATGCCAGAAACAGTGAGGAGTTAGAAGATGGGCATACGCTGTTTGACCGATGAGAAGACCCTAGAAGATTTGGATTTCTCCGATGATTTACGTCTAATGTCGCACAAACTCGAAGATATACAGGCGAAAACTAACAGGTTGATAGAAGAAGCAACAAAAACGGGATTTCAGGCGAACGTAGAGAAGACGGAGGTGATGAAGATACCCAACCAACAACAAGCACCAATCATTGTGAACGGGACAAACCTAAAGGAAGTAATCTGTTTCACCTACCTAGGCAAACAGCATCGTTTCAACTACAGGTGGCGGCACAGACGAGTATGTCAAAGCTAGCCAGGATCGGAAAAGCAAGACAGGCTTTCATCATTAACCTGCACTCAGCATAAAGAACAACATCCGGATTTTCAACACCAATGTCAAGTCAGTGATGGTATATGGTTTAGAAACTTGACGCGTCACGTAAAGCACTTCCAAAAAACTACAGACACTCATCAACAGCTTCCACCCAAGCTAGCTCGATACTGAAGATCAGATGGGTGGCCACAATAGTGAGAACAAGCAATAAGAAACTCTGGCTGACTGGCATTGAACCAACGAAGCAAGAACCTATCACCCAAGAAATATACAGAAGAAAGTGGGGATGGATTGGACTGGGCATACACTGAGAAGGCCGATTGGGGACACCACGCGCCAGGCCGTCGAGTGGAATCCAAAGGGGAAACGATGAGTTAGGCGTCCGAGGCGAGGGTAACATGGAAGAGATCATATGAGGAAGAAATGAAAGCTTGTGGGCAGTAGTTGTGGCGCCAGTTTGAAAAGACTGCAGAGAAGAGAGTGGAATGGAGGCGTGCCACTGAAGCCCTATATTCCACTAGGAATCCAAGGGAGAAAAAAATAATAGTATTCCGGAGGTTTTTTTACAGCAACTGAAAGTATGTGGCATGTGTTCTGTTTTGTTTACTAGCGTTTTCCATCAGTTTATTTTAGACTTAAAATCGTCATCTTCAGATCTCTTGTCATCACCTTACCGTTCAACTACTAAGTTGATATCCATTCCTGATAAGGTGTTAATTACCGAGCTAAGTATTTCCATTTTTCATTGATTTTTTACCGTCTATTTTTTTTTGAAGTCTGTATTCAATACTACTAGCTCTTTGGTGTAGTGAATTCTCGAAGTTATGCTAAGAGACCATTACCTTACCTATAGAGAAAAACATGTTGATAGATAAAAATTTTCATGAAGGAAGTCGGAGGATGATTGTTTTCTAGAATAAAGTTCTTGGCTGATAATTTGACATTTGGAGACAGTACCTTGTAATTCATGCTGTATCTAGTTTGTGCCTGTTAAGTAGCATATCGCAGTATAGCCTGTAACCTCGAGAGAATCAGTGTCCATCTGGTGGTCCGAAATCGTCTCATTCAGTCCTGCAGTCAGTTGCATTACCACTAAGTTATTGCGATCGCTAAACCGACATAAATTTTCTCTAGTTGGCATATATATCTTGTTGCTGAGTGCTAACAGGTACGAAGTCTACATCATTAAGCACCTTCTGCTTATTTTCTGCCTAAACCGAACAGCAGTCAGAGTGCAATTTGATGGCAAGTTCTCTACCTTGGTGATCAGGCTGCAAACTTGATCCATAGCATTTGGTGAGCATTTTGGGAATAGACAATGTGATATTAGTTACTCCTTAGTGAACCGTCAATTTGCATTAGTATTTACCTGTTACACCAGTGAGTCAGTATTGACATCATCACTGGAATTCTGGATGACATCAACACTCTTATTTTAACTTTTCTAATTCGCGGCAGAATTAAAACTTTAATATTATACGAACAGTTATTAATATGCACAACCTACTTATTGCGTAACATTTTTTTCATGTTAAATTTCCAAATATCCATTCATGTATCTCGGAGTTTAATACACAGCGATACTAATATTGTTTATATTCTGACGATGGTTGTACCAAACACCGATTAGTGTTCATTCATTTGTATTCACTAATTGAGATGTTCCAGTAATGAGAATGTTGATAGAACTAATTGGTCAGAGGTAATTCAGAATATTAGAGCTTTCGTTTTTATTTACCAATCCCTAGTTTTTGTTATTCTTGTTTCTTTTTTCATGCTGTTGAAAAGTGTGTGAATCAAGCTAGTGTACTTTTGTGTGGGGGTCTGGATTGTCGTATCCTAATGACTATCATCAGTTTGTTTTTACCTGTGTCAAAAAGCTGTAGGTATTAGATACATAGTTCTACCTATTTGGTTCCAAGCTCTATCGTTTGTGCTTAGAGAGATTCGTCGCACAAACACAGATGATTGGGGTTATCTTAGTTTATTGAACATAATTGAACAAACTGATAAAGTTTTGTCCATGTGAAACAACGAAAAAGTCAGTGTAGTAACTTCAGAATGATTGGAATAATTATGCCTGGTTTCAACATTGGTGACGTGACTCCAGTGGCCTCTGAGAACTCAACATTCAAATTATGGGGTTTGAATCTTCTTCCACTTGAATTAGTTTGGGCTGCTGGATGGTATCATAAGCACTCACACAAGTGTGGCACAGTCTAGTACATAGACATGTACGGGGTAGGGTTACATTAGAATGAATTTTATGATCCAACGTCAAGACTAATGAAAGGCATCCAGAGTTCAGCAAATTAGTTGTGCTTGTGAACCTTTTTTGATTTGAGTGGCCAAAATTTTTATTGGGAATCTCATTTCGTCAGCTGTATCATTATTGCATATTAACTAGAGTACGACAGAGATGAGAAGGTAGTCATACTAAAACTACGTTGATCCATAAAATTTCCTATAGAAATACTCAAATCGTTTGACAAACTTCCTGTCTGGTACCACTAAACTTGTCAATATAGTTAGCTGTATCCGAATCGATTCCATTTGCTGAGATTCATTTGATTAGCCAGTCATCAACTATTCGTTTTTACCCTCTAGATTTTGGTAATTTGATTGCTACTTGTCTTTTGTATCTCATTTTTTGTTTCCTATCATTCTATATCTTGCTTCCTTTCCTTCACTGGTAGTGATATAATTATGTTCATTCCTTTATTTTTCTCCTCATTGATTTATTTTTGGTATATTGATGTAAAGTGATAATGTGTACAATATTCGCATTGATATTTAGCTGTGAAATAGCTTGGTTGATATTGGTTTTCATTGTTATGTGGACAACAAGCGATAAGTGTACTTACATTTGTTCCAATTGTACGTTTTCATCATATTACTAAATTATTGAACTATTTTGAAATAGTGGAGAATATTTGTAGCTCAGGTGGATGGTCTTGATTGTATTATGTTCTCTGAGCTGGGCTGTTTAATCGTGAAGCTTTCATCGTCTTTCTAGACGACATCATCAGCACTAACTTTAGTATGAAGTTAGTTAGTCTAGAAAGTCGATGTAAGCTTCACGATTAAACAACCAGCTCAGAGAACACGATACAACCAAGATTGTTGAACTATATTAGAATAGTTATGACCAGATACTAGTTCATCTGTGCTCTTATATATCTGAGTAATATATCAACAGGTAGTCATTCAGCTAGCATCAACACCATGAAACTGTGGCTCATTGGTCTAGATACTCGACTTCTAACTAGGGCGTCATGCATCTAAGTCCCGCTCCACCGGTCTGAACATTGGAATCGTACCACACAACAGGTGTAGTTCCTTGCCTACTGCATGTATGTGCACATGATCACCAAGTACATTTGGACTTTTTCTTAACATTAATATAGGACTTGAGTGTACCACTTAACAGGTTAATTTGTTACAGCTGACATCGACGTACAAGACAACAAGATGAATGACTGAAATGCTAATCATAATACTCAACAAATCGTATAAAGCTATGAGATGAAAAGAAGAGGCAATGAAGCAAATAATTAATGGGTTGTGCTATAACAGTTAAAGTGAAGATAATATATGTGAAGATAACATCTGTTCCATTTTGGTCGATCCTCAGTCATTTCACCTAGTACTTAGCGCCACTGGTCTTATTTCCTTCAACCTAAAAGTCTACACTTCTCTAAAAAGCTCAGAGCAACAATCAGAGACTTAATGAAATGATAATACGTTTTAGTTTGCTCTCCCTAAACGTTTTCCAAGCCCAAACTCACCTCAGCTAACATTGCGCAACGTGGTAAACGGTGACTAGGCATGCGTAGCACATGTTCCAACCATTTGAGTCGATGAAGTTTCACAACCTCATCAAATCACTTACATCTTTTGTCTAAGATTCTACGCTTAACTTTCATGTTCTTCATTTGGTGGTTCAACAACAGGCAGCTGGTTTTATGAATGAAACAACACTTTTCATTCCATTTGCGTGGTAAGAAATGCGTCCTAAAATATTCTCAAACTGCCACTCAAGTTGTCCAGAAGACTGCATCTTGTTAGAGTCTTCACCTAACAGGACTGTGTCATATACGTACTCTAGACCTACAAAGGATTCTCCTGTGTTAAGATCGATCCCTGAAAAGTCAGACGACAAGAGAGAGACCTGCGTTAGCACAAAAATGATAAAATTAAATAAAAATGAATAGAGCGGACACCTTTGATCGGCACCATTTGACGTACAAAACCCACCTAAGAACTCACCGAATACAACCTTCAGCAGAGTGATGCACTAACTCGATACCCCTTTTAATCAAATGTTGCCTTCTGGTCGAGAAATGCAGCTAGTATTGATAATTGAGTATGTATCGAGACCTGTCGAAGAATGAAGATCTAGTTGATACACCCACAACCAGGTCTGAGACCCACTCACCTTTTACTTGGCTTGCTGTTGCTAAGCTTCACTTATGTGCCTAGTGATTATGGAACTTTGAGTCTTAGACACTGTCTTCGTCAAACTGATTTCGTAATAGCTACAAGTCTATTTAGTGCAACCAATAATCAAACAGCATTGCAGAGACAAAAGCTGTCTTTTGGTCAATGATTGCAGCAATAAAATCAATCCAGTGTCAACAATAAGAAGTCCTTCATTCTGCTTTTGAAACCATTTCTTTCACCCTAAAAACTACTTATGGAAAGGAATTTAGCAATTCGTTTTTGTTTTCGTCATTATCTGCACTAAGTAAATTACAGCAATGTTTTAACTGTTTGCATACGGTACATGTGTGTGTGTACATGTTTTCCATTGTTTAAAGATCGCAATTATGTTTTTCTGGTTCACAGCATCACTTGATATAAGTAACAAGAGATTATTTTAGTCTAGAATCTTTGATGGTTCATGAATACTTCTCATCCCTTATTAAATTATTCATATCAGTCGGAGAATTAGTGAAAGGTTTCAGGCCGGTGAATATTATTATTCTTCTATTCTAAAGAATTTTCTATCACGCGCCTTCGACAGTACTCGATGTAATACTCCATATTTATTTTTATAACGTTTACAGCAACACCAAGAAAATTTGAGAAATGCAGAAATGAAAAAAACAACTTGCTCTAAATTATATTGGAAAAAGGTTGATAAGCAGGGCTAAATATAACATCCGTTCATAAGGTCCCCAACGGTTGGTCAATTTTTTCGCTCTGAATAGAGTCCTTGGGATGTCGGAAACTAATGGCTGGTGATTATGTTACGGCTCACATTTGACCACCTTCGCGCAGATATATTGACTGTATAACATCTGTAGTAACCTTCATTTATATGTTATCTTTACTCTCATTATTTCAAAGTTTTTAGTTTCATTCATTTTACTTTTCTGTTGCCTTTGAACCCAGCTCAACCTACTGAGGTCTGGATAGCCAGATAGTATCATTATCCCTCAGACAACAGATGTGGCTCATTGCTCACTGCAAGAATATACACAAGGTTGTTGGGTGGATTTCAGTTTTTTCTGAATTGAACGGGATAATTTGAGTATTTCTTCTGTATTTTTGTGCGTTAAAATACTGCTTGAAGACTGTACATAGGTTGGAATTTACAATTGCCAGTTTTTTTTGCAACTTGATGACACATCTTATTGTTTGCAAAGGTAGCACCATTTGAACTTATCCGTGAATATTACCTACGGTCTACGGTGTTTATATGTTTGAACCACAAAAAGAACAGCATGTGTATACCATGTTCATTTTCAAATGAAGGCGTTAGTGTAATCACTTTGTTTCTATATCTTTTATTCTACTTAGCGACAATCTTGAACTGTGTTTAAGTTAGGTTAAAGAGGTTAGTGTTATGCAGAAAGCATATTGTATGAGTGCTGTATTATCACCTGGTTATTCTTACGTTTATGTTAACTTTGTTATATTCCTTATTGTTTTATTCAAAGCTTTAGATGAACTAATCAAGCTTTGACTGAATTATTATCGATTTAAATGGATGACATACAAAACTTGATATAGCGACGTTGAGTTGGAATATGATAAAAGAAGTTTCATAGTAGTTGCACTAAAACCCATTCCGCGATAACGATTATCATCAAGCTCAAAGTCTATGATCATTGGTTCTATATGAGATTTTCAGATAATGGAATGTAAACATTTCACTTATTTGTAATCCTTACATATTTCTTTCATATATTTTGTTTTTTTAGAGGGACAGCTTTCAAAGAGGGTGTAATGACCTATCCAGATTTTGTGTGGTTTCTCTTGGCTGAAGAAGATAAACGTCATCCAAGAAGGTAGTGGATTGTGATGTTTTAACTTCTTGTTTTCATCATTATGGGATTTCAACTACTTTATGAGACATTGTATTTAACGAAAAGTTCTCGAAAAGTTTTTGATTCACTATTTATATATCAGATGAGTTGGCTCTTATTGATCAATATGTGAGGTTAGACACAATTCACACTTAGCAGCAAAATATCTCAACCAAATCGGTAGGGTTAAAAGCCAGGAGACTTTCTCCCTGAATGTTAGCTTGTTATTTATGTCTGAATTGATTCAACTCTGAAAAAGCACTACTATTCCAGTTAACCCATGTTGATGAGGTTGTAGCAGCTCAGAAATATTTTGAATCAAATCCAGTGAAAACCAAATAACTGATCTAAAACGTTCGAGGGAAATTATGAAGAGATTATGATAGGAGAATTCATCCGGAACTGTCAATCTTACAGACGATGACGGATTTAAACATGCATTAGGTCTAAAGAGTATCTACCTATTGATTTCAGAGTTAGATCTCATAATTCGAACTAAGGTTTTAATGAATTGTCTAGTTGTGAGCGCTTCCCAGCGTTATATGTTTGTTATCACCATTTTTTTAAAAGTGATATCTTAACTTTTCGTATTTGATCCCAAGAGGTATTGACAATGGAGTCCCAAAATTCTGATTTCTAGTAATTATTTTAGTAATATAAATTTATGGTAGAGACTATCCTTGCATCGTTGAACAAATGTTCACTTTCTTTTAATAGCATTGAATACTGGTTTCGTTGTATGGATCTAGATGGCGATGGTCTCTTATCAATGTATGAATTAGAATATTTCTATTCAGAACAATTGGCTCGTATGGAAGAAATGGGTATTGAACCTATATCTTTTGAGGATTGTTTATGTCAGTGTTTGGATATGGTCAAACCAGTTCTTGGTGATAAAATTCGATTATCAGATATGAAACAATGCCGATTGTGTCATATATTTTTTGATACGTTCTTTAATTTACCCAAATATTTACAACATGAACAACGTGATCCATTTGCTAATTTACGAGTACGTTTTCAAAATATGTTTAATTTGTTCATAACATTGTTTCTTTTGTCTTACTAATAACATATACTTGAATGTCAGTTATACATTGAAAGCCATCTCTCAACATAATGTAGTGGAATCATAATAATGAATTTTTTTATAGCTGAAAGCAATATATCATCAACATTCTTATCATCTTATTTAGGCTTTTTTTTATTGAATTTTAAAGTAGATGAAACCTATTTTGTAAACATGTAATATGGTACTGAATTCAATGTATAGATTATATGTTTATCATCATTAAAAGGGATGAATTGCAAAGCATTTGCAAACGTTTTTGAAGACTTCAATTTCATATTTGGAATGGAATTAAATAATAAAATGAAATGTTGTGATTAGTAGAATTGAGCTGATCTCAGTCGTCAGTGAATAAGAAAAATAACTAAGATGTACTGTGAGAGAGAGGCATTGATGACGAAATAAATCTTGATCTATTATTTAGTATTTATAACTTGCTATAACTTCATACGGTCATCTTCCTGTTTATAGTTGCTCCTCAATAACATCAGGCTCAGTTGAACGTCTACTCATCAAGCTATCACTCAGCGGCAAGTAGAATAGATTTTGTGATTCGAATATTTTAAGCTTTTGAAATGAGTAAGATTTACAAAAAAAAATGTGAATTGGTTATTTGATTTATAGCCAGAATTGTAGATTTTGTAAAATAGTTGTTATATTTCTGAATTTATCTTATCTGACCAAAACCAGATAACTAGATCAGTTTGGGTTGATTTAATTAATATTTCGATTCCTATCGTGAAAATTTCTAATTTGATACAATTTTTTTAAGCTACTAATATCAAACAGTAGTATACATAGTGTTCTTTGTGTTCTGTATTGCATCTAGGATTCTTTGAAAAATGCAATATCCGTATTCTTGTTGGTATTTGATCAGAGAATCATGTTAGTATACTGAATAAAATAGTTACATTTTCAGAATGTTGCGATAAATTTCACAATATTTGACTTGATCATATAGCAATAGACCATCAAGGTAGCATTTCATATTTATTCTTGAACTCATTTTAGTCACCTAACAATATTCCTGATAATGTTGGCCCATTTCATGTATTTTCTTTGTCAATTACATTAAGAATCATGAGTATTAATTCTTTTTTTTCATCTCTAACTTACCTGCAACTAGGATATCGAAGAAGGTCTTAATGAACTCTCTGACTGGGATCGCTATGCTGCTGAAACGTATGAAATGTTAGTTAGTGTTGAAGGTGGTGGAAATCAAGAGGATGGAGTTGATGATGACGATGATGATGAAGAAGATGGAGATGAAGAGGAAGAAGAAGATGGTGGAGATGAAGAACAAAAGGATTCAGCTACCGCCCCAAACACTACATCACCGGCAAAAAGAAAAGATAAGATAAGTAAGAAAGATAATACTGGACCTTGTGCACTGGCTAGTAAACTTGAAAGTGTTAACAATGATCTAATCACATTGGAATCAGCTGTTGGAGCAGGGGAGTGAGTGAGTTACACGGAAAAAGTTTATTAACTTGTTTTTTCGTATATTGCATTGTTAAATAATGACTGAAGCAATCTGTGGTTTAATTTCTATAGCATTATATACTAATTGGTTTGAGGTGGAAGAGGTTTAGGAACTGTATTGACTTAGTAACATTCTTTACTAGAAAGTCCTTGATGTTATAATTTTTGTTGGGCTGTGATGCTAAAAAAAGCATCATAATATCATCCTACACTGTGAATTGGTGACTGTTGTTAAATAACCGTGATTTTAGAGATTTGCAGTGTTCAGTCAGCTAATTTTGTATCTTCTGTGTTTCACTACAAAACATTAAGAAGTCGTAGTTTGTCTGAAACATGTAATGTACTAGCACAAAGGATTACAAGCAAAGAAGAACCATTATTGTTAGTTCCAAAGGCAGATGTCTTTATCACGCTACTACATGTGGATGATTCACGGAGTCTGACAACCAGACAAAGAATTAAGGTGGTCATCTGGAGATTATACTATGAAGAAAAGGTCAACATCATGGAGAAAAACAGGACTTATGTACTCCTGTAAATGCTTTTAGTATTTAAACGCTGTAATCACATCCAAATGCGTTTATCAGTTCCCATGTACATGTGGTCACATGAAAAGGGAGCTAAAGCAGTTGCAACAATAAATCAGATCGGATGATTTCATTGACCTAGGCAATATGAATTCTCAACTTCATCTATAGCTGAAAATATCATTGAAACAGGTAACAAGGTTGATTTGTATACATTTGTCGAGCCTATTTGCAAAAGTGATTGGAGACATATACTTAAGTTTGTTGAAGCTCTAACCGTAAGGAAGTTTCGGCCTCTTTTATGTATTCAAAAATAACTTGTTAATACACTGAGCCTCCCTTGATAATTCAACTTTGAAATCAAGGATGATTAATTCTTTATGTTATCTTTCTTCTCCGTCTATGATTTAACCTTCGAAATAACAATTAGACCTTATATTATATCAATTTTGTCTTAGACCCAGCTGGCCTTTGTTATAATTTGTATAAATATGCATTACAAATAAGCGTGTGACCAGATTTTTCGACATGTATTGTGCTGACACATCACACGCTTCAGACCATCTAAATCTTATCGGCTTTGAAAAGGCCTTTGACAGCGTCGACCGACAAGCAATTTGGCAACTGCTCCAACACTACGGAATATCACAAACTTTTATCAACCTCATTCAGCAACTATATGAAAACGCCACATGCCAAGTAATTCACAATGGGAAGCTCAGTGGTGCCTTTGAAGTGAAGACAGGAGTAAGACAAGACTGTCTGCTATCACCCATGATATTCCTGATTGTAGCCGAGTTGACTGTATCATGCAATAAACAGTGAGGAGCGAGAGGATGGACATACGCTAGACTGGGGAAAAGATCCTGGAAGATTTGGATTTCGCCGACGACTTATGTCTAATGTCACATACACTTGAAGATCTACAGGTGAAATCCAACAAGTTGACAGAAGAGGCATGGCACTGAAGATGGGACTTCAAGTGAATGTAGAGAAGACAGAGGTAATGAAGATACCCAACCAACGCCACCACCAACAACAACAAGCTCCAATCACCATGAACGGGAGAAAGTTAAAGGAAGTAGCCTCTTTCACCTACCTAGGCAAACAGCATCGTTTCAACTATACGTGGCGGCACAGACGAGGACGTGAAAGCCAGGATCGGAGAGACCGCAAGACAGGCTTTCATTATCCTGAAACCAGTGTGAAGATCTTCTGCACTCAGCATAAAGAACAAGATCCGGATTTTCAGTACTAATGTGAAGCCAGTGCTTCTGTATGGTTCAAAGACTTGGCGCGTCACGAATGGGATTTCCAACAAACTACAGATATTTATCAACAACTTCCTGTGCTCGAAACTAAGCTCAGATGGACAGAATAATAAGAATAAGCAACAAGAAACTCTGGCCGGGTAACGAACCAACCAAGAACCCATCGCTCAAGAAAAATGCAGAAGGAAGTGGAGTTTGGCGTCTCAGCTGAGGGTGACATGGAGGAGTTCGTCCTCGGAAGAAATGAGAGCTTGTGGGCAGTCGTGGAGCCAGGTTGAAAAAATTACAGAGAACAGAGTGGAATGGAGAGGTGATACTGAAGCCCTATGTTCCACTAGGAACCCAAAGGACAAATAATAATAATATGTATAATAATAGTTCGTAAATAGCTGGTCCATTAGTACTTGTTAATTTAAATGACTGCGTATGAAGCAAACCTGAGTAACTTAGGTGCTCTTATGCATGATCATGTATAGGATCTTTGTTATCGTATAACCGTGACGTTGAAGCTGGTAAACATTATCATTTACCCTCTTTACCTAATAACACGGTGATGATTAATGCCGTATCACCCAATATCTGGATTGTTAGTCTACAGGATAAATGCTGAGAAGGATGACTACCAACAAAATAACAAATAGCACATATTCACATTGGTGATGATGCTGTACAAAAACAAATTTCTTGTGTTTCTATCATATGTATGATGATGAACTCCACCATATTTGTACCAATTTAGGCCTGGTTTTAACTGGCTATTGGGTTCACAAGGATGTCATTCATTGTTTAATGTGGTTAGAAACGTCTACTTTTTTGTTTCTCTCACTAATTTGACACTGACGTTTGTAGTTTTTATTCATTTAAAGGCTTTTCTTAAAATATGGTTTGAACCAATGATGACTCAGCTGATTTTAAGACGCGTTTTTTAAAATAAAAAAAGTTCAAATAATCTATTGTCTTACCTGGGTTCTTCTTTGTAGTTGTTAGAGAAGTTAGCTTTGTGTCTGAATCAAATTCTCTTCTCTAATATATTTTTGTTGCTGTTTTTCCTAAGGTCGTCTGGACTTATAAAGAAAAGTACGGAATTTGAACAGAGGAGTAATCTTAGACGAGGAACACCAATGAACCACGATAATTTAAATGCTAACTGATCATTTCCAATGATGAGTTTCGTGGCTGATTGTAAGTCTAGTAATCAACCAACCGAGTGAAAAAATATTTCCAGCCAAAAATGATATACAATTAAATTTTATCCACACCATCTCTCATTTGTATAAAACACTTTTCTCCTTTCAATTTCTGACAAGGTCTTACTTTTGTTTTCTTCCATTATCACAAATTTATGCTTCCTTTTTTTCTCTCTTTTTGTTATACTCAAATTCTTTAAAATATTAACCAAAGCAACTATACTAATTGTATTCTGTCTGTGATATTTTCCTTCTTTTATATTCAGATTTTTAACGTATCCTCGTGGTGATTTTCTTTACTTATCATCTATTTTGGTGGTATTTGCTATAAGTTTTTTTCGTCATTTGTTTTGGATTAGACCTCTGAATCGCAAAGTAGTTGCGATAATTGTCGAATGATTACTTCCCTAATAACGTTTCTTAAAAATTTATCCTAAAAAAGTTGCTTTGGTTTCTTCGTTTTGTATGTAAAGCTATTTTTATGACTGTACTTATTCAATTTCTTACTGCTGATCAGAATAAGTGGGACAATACAATTCTCTTCGAATTCCTGCTTGTCACAAAGTGTTTTATGTCATTATTACTTCTTATCGTAGTTCACTTGCATCTTCGTAGCAAACATTGTTCTGATGCTTAGAATGATTGTAAAATAAGTTGTGTTGCTGCATGTACTATATGTGCAATTTGTAAACGCACATATACGCAGCGTTCTTATGGCCTACTGATGTAAACAAAATAATCCTTCAACTATCATCATTTCTCTTGTTCATATACCCTTAATCATTATTGTCTAACTGTATCTTCAACGAATTGCTGTGTTGAAAATATCCAGCTTTTTTATTATGACAATCTATGCTACCTGAATTCGCTGTCAAATCATCCTTCAAGTACAACCACTTATAACATAAATTTGTTGAGCTTCATGTCTTCCTACTTTCTTTGCTTACTAAGTCTTCCATCTTACTTTTATTCTGCTACTCCTTCTTTGTTAATAATTGCACAAATATGCGGTACGTAATTACAATCTTATTGAATCCCCACTAATTTCCGGAAGCTTATGCATTGTAATGTTATTGATTATTATTATTATGGTCATTACCACCATTACAATTACATTAACGAAGCAGTCGTCTACTAAATCCGTCACAAACACATAAGGTTACCTTTTTCAGTTCTTTCATTTCGAAAAAGAAACATACCGGAAGATACTTATTTTCTTCTTCAAATACACAGGATCCCATCGTATCAGTAGTGGAAAGGTTGTTGCATAGTTTGATAACATCTATTAAGAACTGTCATTTTACAAGTATTTCTGTAAAGTGTACATTAGTGAATGCTTACTATCGATCCTATTGTTGTTCATCCAGAAGTAATTATTGAACAACATTAACTGATTACCCTGAACATATGAATTAGTTTTTTTTTTTTGATGGTAGAGTTACAGAAATAACCTTTCAGTGTTATTTAGTTTGCCTGTGATAATACGCAGCAATACAATTACGCATATTAGCACAATTACAGCACTGATAGTTCCTAAACCTAACAACTTTGAAAACATGAAGTTCAGCAGATTCATAAATGAGAGTTCGGCTGAATGTTGTTTTTACAGCGTAATATCAATCATCCCCTAATGTGATGTAAAAAAGAACTTATCTTTCATTTGTCACTGCGTATCTTGATATCACAGGTGAATAGAAAAGATTATGCGTCACTGACTTCACTTTGTCTTGTCTAATACAGCAGTGGAAATCTGTGGTCCATTAATTGGATCTCTACATGTACTAACTTTTTTACTGAGCGCTAACCTTTTTGTTTAGGTTATCATCATCATTTGTGTGGTAAGCCTTCATCGATTAAGTGTGAAGATAGTTATTATTTTCATTTTATTTCATTCAACAGAAATAAATGAAAGATTTGGATGTAACTATGTCCTACTTAATCAATAATTATGTAAACGTGTATCATGAATATGTACTAAGGCTAATTTTATTCAGATGTAATTCGTGGATGAGAATTTTCGCCTAACTGTGGATAACTTAGTAACTGCCTACATATTGGAACGCGTAAATTTGGTTGGATTTGTCAAAGTTGCATCTGATTGATATTCTAGAGATTTCGCAGTGATTGATTAGTCTACAATTCTGACAATTTCGTTTGCAGTCTTAATGCTTTCACTGCTAAACTCTTTCTTGGCCTTCGTTCTATCCTTTCATTGTGTTGTGAATAAATAGAAATATAATTAGTTATTCCAAAGTTGAAACCAATCGATATTATCTGAACTCCACTTTACATTGTTTTGCATGCAGTTTTTGGCGATTAAATCTACAGTACATGGAGATCGCAGTAATTCCAGTAAATATAAAAATGAAAGTTTTGGGATATAGTTGTCAAAAAAATAAGAAAATTATTGATTTGACGGCATCTGCTCAGTAGTTAGAAATAAAGACTGCTATTGACAACGAACTCATTCTCTTCGATGTATAGTCATGGACACGTGTTATGTATGCCTATTCGCCGATTGCCTCGTCACACGATGTTGGCTGAAGTAGGTCCAGGATGGAAAAAGGCCCGAGGTGGCCAGACTAAAACATGGCACCAATGTATGAAGTCTCTGACTGTTTGTTTGAGCCATGTGGGGCGATTCAGACTAGGTGGTTGGGGTCGGTGGGAGAGAAACCGGTGGTTGGAGACTAGATGATATGGCTCAGAACCGATGTCAGTGGCACAGATGTATACACACTTTATCCTCATCTTAACGCTATACCGAATCTCACAATTTCTCATTCTTCCTTTCTCTCTATTAGTACTATATATCTCTTTTGACTGCTTTTTCTTTTCTTCATCTTCCACTTTACTGCTTATTACTTGATGTACTGATATGAGGTGTAGCAACTCGGACCGTTATGCAGTAATGCCTGGTCTTAGGTTGATCTGAATGTAACATATAGTGGAAAGCGCAATAATTTCCGCCCAATCTTCAAAAACTGCATAGTGAAAGAAAAGTTACGCAGTATATTTTAAGGAAGATACGTACAAACAAATGTTTTTTGTTTTACTGAACATACTAAGATTATCTTGAAGCTTATGTCTATAATGATTCAATAAACTGCGTTCTGGACATTCGTAATAGATATGGCCTAGATGTTCTCCTTCAAATTCACAGTTTCCTGTCATGAAAAGAATAGTGATCTTGACTTAACAACTCTCAGTTTTTACAACTGCCTTCAGTTTCTTATTTGTTCTAATATACTACGCGGAGATAACACATGTGAAAATACACCTTATACGATTTACTATCAGTTTATTGACTGCACCTAGGACAGAAAAGTCCCACCTATTATTTATTTTGCGAAAGACAGTGTTTAACAAATTTTCCAGAAGTTCATTACTTTCGTGTACAATACGCCAGACAGATGAGTCTGCATCCCAATGAGCAACTTTTTGTTCCAAGTAAAATTGTTGATAAACATTCACAGATGTAATGGTATTTTCGTCCAATGTTTATAGCACCTCAATAAATTCATTTGCACTTCAAAAAAAAACCACTTAAGGAAACCTAGCTGTTAGGTTTATGTAGGTTAAAGGAAGCCAAACTATAACTCAGTTTCAAAACACCTTAGAAATCGGTAAACCTAGTATTACTCTCATTCATTTCTGCGTATCAGTGATATCATTCTGAAAAACAAGACTATAACAAATAGTGTCATCAATAATTTCGATAACATTCATAAAGTTAATATATATCACACTTGCTGATATCTAGTTGAATATTGTTTTAGTAGATAGACTGAGTAAAAGTTCATCTTCTAAAAAGAAAGACTTGTATTCAAGACAAGTATATTTTGTCACTGATTCCAATATTTTATTTTATTCTTTTTTAGTTGAACAGTATATCCACTTCTGTCTTAAATAATGCTTTGATTCTAGTATTACTTTTAGGTAGAAATTCGTATACCACGTATCTAGTTTCGTTGAATCTTTCGAATTATTTCTACCTGTAGCGCTTTATTTTTGCGTAAGCTAGATTTACCTCACCTGTCGTAATCTGATTTCAGCATTTGGGAAATACCTCTGATAACTGCCATTTATCAAGTTTACACGACAGAAAATTGTTCGCCTTACTATTATTTACTTCGGTACACCATGAGAAGTGTTTTTAAACAGAAGGATAATTGTAGCTTATTGTATGAAATTTCAAGTATCTAATCCATATCCATGGTTGGTATACGTATATGATAATAAGCCAGTTGTTTTGGTAAACATTTACAGAGTACAAGACATTGAACTTATCTTTATGACTTGATAAGGATTTTTCGTACATTATCTTTTTTTCAATAAATCCCGTTCGTTAGGATACAATCATTCTTTGTCTTAGTGTTAACAGAATTGCAATATGGTGGTATTCTTTCTTCTTTTTTTACTAGCTCTTTACTACCATTAAAAGAGCATTCGTTAAACGTTTTTTTCCGTTTTAATTGGTTTTTTTCATCACTATGATAATGTTTATAACGTGTCAACTTATAACAATACACAGTTGTACCACATGGTATGTGTTATCTTTTTGTCTATTTACCAATCAATCAGTAGTAGCTAAAGGCAACAACACATTTCATGAATGAAGAGAAGTCTGGTGGAGCAGGAATCGATAATAATAAAAATATTAAACCTTACAAAAAATGGTCGCATTTGTAAACGTTTTCCTGTTCAGTATTCCAGTGTGGGGTATTCTTGCACTCTACATTTTGCGCCCTCCTCTGCCAACTGTCCATCTGAATATTTATTATTACTTACATACACGCTTATGAGTATTGTCCACACTACTATCATTAACAATTCTAAGTGTGGTGCAGGTTAGTAATTCTCATTATTTACTATTACTTACTACAACTAATAACGAGAATATGAAGTTTATTTTGGCGAGAGCATATGAAAGATTGATTACAAATACACACATAGAGAATGATATTTGTATAAAAGTGTTCATCAAAGCATTCATCACGATTGAACCATGAAATTATTGTCTTAACAACTGTTTTTGCTATTTGCTATCCTCCTCTTACTGACTGTGTCATATAAGCCATAAATTACGTGCTCGAACAGCTTCTATACGTACAAATCTGTTAGGATCATCAACAAGTTGATCAAGTAAGGGTAAGATAGTTATGTCACGATGGCGATTGATTATCTGTAGAGGCAATTTTATAAGACTAAGTAAGCACTGTGCAATTGTTAGACGAATAAACGTCAATGTATTGAGAACATTCTTCCTGTCGTAATTGGTTACCTCCTAAAAAAGAATCATATAGAAAGAAACATATTTATATACACAACTAGTTTTAAATTTAAAAAAACAGCACGTTAAGGTTATCAAAAGGTTTGCTTTGAAAATGAATACAATGACAAAAAGGACGGTAATATATGACATATGATATCACTAATAAAGAGGTGAATTGGAATTTCACTAAATAACTTCAAGATGCTTATGCTAGTCTTTCAGTTGAAAACCAGTTTTCTTTAGAAGGGTCAAAAATGTAAGGCGATTGTCATTCGTTTCAAGTTTGTGCATGATCAGATAGCCCAATTCCAGGAAACTTCATCCAATCACTTATGCGTCAACAAGGACTATAATCTGAAAACGACTACTGTTTATCCTTTTCTAACTCTATGGAAGCGTTTGTAATATCTGAACTAACTGTAATCTCTCTATTTATATCAGGGGGTGGACTAGCAAGTTTAGTCTTTAAAAACTTCGACTACCTCTGGCGTCGATGAGATTCCAATCGACAAGGGAGCTCAATGCTAAAAGTGCCTACGATCCTGGTCAGGTGGCACTAACCTCTGCACGTTTTCTTCTGTCACCCAGTTAGCTTCCGTCCAAGGTGGCCTTTCGCGGCATGATTCTGTAAAATTTATGCAGCAGTCTTCACAAATTGTTCGACTTATTATTCTCTCTTGCCTCCTTAACACTAAGGTTGAGCGACTACGATAGATAAAAGTTAGGTAAAGATATATCTACACCAATTAGCTACAACTCTACTGCATATCTGTGTAAGTAGGGAAATACTCTAACTAATAGTTGCTTTTTTCCTAATCACCTTTTAGTAAATCCTAACAACTGCTGCTGACTGTTTCAGGTTAGGCATAAGATACATGATGTTAGGGATCCGTATAACCCCTTACATTTCATACTACGTATAGTTTTTGTCTGCCCACTTTTCCCCGCACTTGGATTACATTTCACATAACTTGTAAGTGCCGCATATATATAGTCCGTTTTTACTACCAAACGTTTTTCAGTTTGAGATAATATGAATTTAGTTGAACACCAGTCTTTTGATTTCATTTTGCGAATCACTCGGATTGCATCGTTTCAACCCTTGAGTTCTCAATCGTTAATCATTATCATTCATTGTTGCAACTTCGTGTCGTATCATTATCAGTATCGACATAGGACTAGGCATTACTGTGTCAAGGTTCAATTTGCCGCACCTCATATCAGCACATTATGTAACAAAGCTATAAGATGAAAGATAAAGAAAGTCAAAAACAATAGAAGAATGGAAGGAGAAAATATTGGATTTAGTATAGCGCTTAAGAAGAAGATAACGTATGGATAGATTTGCGCCACTGACATTGATTATTAGACTTATCACCTAGAGTCTCCAACCACTGGTTTCTGTTGTTACATGGACCCAAACCGGCTACTGTGCGTCGCTCTACATGGCTCAGATCAGCAGTCAAAGACTGCATGCACTGAGGCTATGTTTCGTCCTGTTCGATCCGAGCTTTTTTCCAGGCTGGGCCCGCTTCGGTTAACAAGGCATGTGCAACGCATGTACCAGTCATTTCAGCTGATTAAGGTTTACAACATCATCAACTGAATTTCATTCATCTCCTTCCTGAAACTCTACAGTTGACTTCTGCATCGCTGACGTGGTGACACCACGACACGATCTATTCCAGGAAGCTGACGGCGGTAAAACACTGGAAGCCTTCTCACTTCTTCTACCTCCAATGATGATGTTTCACAACCATACAGTAGGATAGAGTGAACTGTAGCACAGTACTTTCGGACATTGCGACGGCGTCATAGATAGGGTAAGTTGGCCAATGTCATTCGAGGTTTCTGCATCGTCGGGCACTGATCTTGGTTGATTTCTCAGGTAGGTAAAGTGTTCAGCGCCCTCAGCCACTTCACTGTCAATTGTTTGGTGGGCAATCGCTGAAGACGCACGCCAAACATTTATAAACTGCCACTCAAGGTGTACAGAAGACTCTTCATCTCGTCAGTATCCTCACCTAATAGGACAATGTCATCTGTGTATCCTAGACTTGCCAAGGATTTACATGTGATAACATCGATCCCTGTAAAGTCAGACGATGAGAGAAGAACCTCTATAAGTACTTCTATGATAAACTTACATGGGAGTGAAAAGAGTAGGCGTCCTTGACGGACAACACTCGATGTACACAGCTTACCTGCCAACTCATCATAGGCTCTAACAAGCTCTCGAGTGTTCCAGTAGAGACCCTTTAACATAATGATCCACTTACTCGGTATCCCTGCCATTGAGACACTCCCAAAAGACTTGTCGATCGACGGAGATTTCTTCAAGTTCTAGTGAAAAGCTGTAGTTTATGGGATTGAACAAGTCGGATTTGAGGATAAGTACTTGCCGATAACATTGTATGATAGTCGCACTATATCGTAACTTGAGGGAAGTAGGAAAGTGTCAACCATTGGATCCTAACCTACTGGCAAAGCGCTAGACACATGGCCTGATTATTATGCGTTTAATCCTAAATGTGGTTGTGGGTGAACACGGCCGAGGAGTCCTATGTTAGGACAAAACAGTCGTCCAGTGTTCTTACATTCTCATTGAGTTTCCGAATGATGCGAGTTCATGATCAATACTACCTTGCATAATAAAAATTATTATTTCAAATGGTTTATCAGTTAGCTTTTCAACTACGTGTATCAGTCATTCAATGCGATCATAATGGTCAACAGCGTGAAATCTAAAGTAAATGAAATACAAAATGATGAAAGGTCATAACAGTATTGAGCCTGGTAGTCATTATATATCTTCAAGCATAGAGTGCAAGTACTGACGAACTATCAGTTAATGGCCTATAGCACTATTCGTTAACATTCGAATAACGGTTATATGGATTTCAGTGAATTGTCGAAATCCGGTATCATGAACAGTTCAACTATCTGTTACCACGCAGACAACACTCTGACTGGTTTTTACCCATCCAACAAAAAGATAATTACAACATTTTGTCAATTTTCAGATGATTGGGCAAAAATTAGTAGGATCGTTACATATAATTCCATTTTAGTCTGTTTATTAGTAATATCACATAGTGAAACAGTAGCATTTACTGGACAACGCTTCGGACATAATTTATTGTCCATATTCATATCAGATAACACCACAACTTCAAGACAGAATTTATATATTGCCAATTTTCTCTTCTTCTCTGCGATGACAAGAGTAGTAGAATTTTCCATATATCTGGGACAGGTGCAGAATCATTTCCATTGCATGTATTTGGTGTTGATTCGAATGCCAAATACATGCAATCAAAATGACTAGGTGGTTAGGGTCACGAGAACAAAAGGAGCCAGTGATTGGAGACACTAGGTGGTATGGCTGAGAACCGATGTCAGTGGCTCAGATGTATACATACATTATCATCATCTAAACAACGCTATACCGAATCTCACCTTTTTCCCCATTCTTCCTTTCTCTCTCTTCGTTCTTCATGTTTCTTTTGACTGAATTTTGTTATCACCTTGCGCCTCACTGCTTTTTTACTTGATGTATTGATATGAGGTGTGGCAACTCGGACTGTTACGTAGTAATGCCTGGTCTTAGGTTGACCTGGATGGATGGATGGTGTTGATTCGATAAACAAGGATTCGGTTATCAATCTCTCCCTCCACCCAACCAAGTTAGTTTTCGACACTGTCGCCCTATCCCACCCTACTGTGTGATTGTGTGTCATCGCATGCAGAGCTTTTCTGTAGATTTCTTATCTTATTAGGATCTATTAATCTTGGTTCAGCCAAGTTTTTGTGCTCTGTTATTCTAACCTACCCTCGTCGACTGCTTTGACTTATGTACTTGACCTTGCAATCATACATCCTGCAATTGTTTGCAATTTCCATGAAAAATGCTTATGGTTCTGGATCAAACTGAAGTTCATTTTGGTTAACATTGCAATTACGGATGTCAAAATAGCTTTTCCATGTATAATCAAAACTACCATTTAGACTAAATATACATAAGCTGAAGTAAAAAAGATTTTAATGGAAAGGGAAATGAAAATATACAAACCTCATCACTTTTAGATGCTTCAATTAACTTTGGCAATCTACCAAATAGATCTTCAGCTTGACTGTCTGAGATTAAATTGCATAATTCCAAATTTCGCATTGGATTTTTATTGATGATTGATATAAAGTGCAATCCAGCGAGTTGAGTTCGAATATTAGAAGATGATGTGACCGCGAACAAAGCAAATGGAATCACCTGGGTGAATGTAGCAACATAAATACAAGCTGATTACCATTCAACAGTTAGAATAAATAGAACATTATTATGAAAAAATGGATAAAATGAACATGATTTATTTGTAGCTTCATCTTAAAATTCTACAAAAAGTAATTAATAAAAGAACCAGATTAAGCATACTCTGTTGGCATATGGGCTCCTGTGTGGATGCCTCGATATTCCCTGTCTTTTAACTATGTGTAGTAATGATGGGCAGTGGAATCCAGGATGCGCATTTCGCCCTATGTGGGACTCGTCAGCTGGATGTACCTGCCTTCCAGTGAGTGATGCTGTTGCCACCGAGACTCGGGAGCGATCACTTCAAACGCGAGAGTGTTATCCACTACACCACCGAGCCACGATAGCCACTTCTTAGGCGATGGGTAGTTTTAGTGTTATTAGAGACTGATCGATTCGGCGTAATACAAGCAATAACACTGAACCTATACCCGTCGCACAAGAAATGGCTATTGCGGTTCGGTGCTGTAGGGGATAACACTCGCGTTTGAAGTGATCGCCCCCGAGTCCCGATGGGAACAACATCATTTACTAGGAGACAGGTACATCTGGCTGATGAGTCCCACATAGGACGAAATGCGCATCCTGGGTTCCACTGCCCATCATTACTATACCCAACAGTTATCCTAAAGTAATTATCCCGTTAATGTTTCTCATTGTTCGAAAAATGATCATTCAAACGACAGCAACATATTAAATTCTAAACTCGAAATGCTTTATTTTACCGATAGAAATCATAATAAAATTTAAACTAGGTGAAATATACATGACTAGAAACCTTCAGAATTACTTTATCCTCTAACTGTGTACTGTGTTACGTTGAAATTATTATGACATTTTCAGTCATGGGTTAATCAACATATGAAACTCAACTGATTGATTTTATGCACAGAGAAATGATGCTGAGAAAAAACTAACACGAACACTTTTGCACTATAAACTGAACAAAATCTGCAGAATATAACGATATGACACTAAATCATGATTCGGTATCGACTGCAAACAGAATTAAATAAGAATGATTACTACACTATTCTATTACTTTACAATATCGTCTAGATTAAAGCTTGAGCTAAATACAAGCATATCATTTACAGCTGTTGAGAACACGTGATAATCTTGTAAATCTCATCAGTCTTGGGTTATTCGAAAACCAAAAATATTAACGAGAAGGAAGTATATAAATTACTCACTTTACTCAACAACTGGTCAGTTAGAAATTCTGAGGGTAAATGAACCGTCATGTTCAAATAGAGCATCAACATTGAATCTGGCGGTTAGTGAAAAGGAATCAATAAAATAAAACTGATAACTTAGTATTAAGATGACAATCTTCTAACATTTTCGAACCTTTCAAAAATTATTACTGTCTACTAAGAAAACCTGGATTTACTAATGATATATTACCTGTCATTTATAAGTTTTAAGTACTAAAAAATCTGGAACTAAGACAATACAATGCTGTCTGAATTTCAAGGCATCTTCAACTAACATCAAGTCAGGATAGAAATCAACCTACAGTCCAAGGTGTTTTATGTAGAATAACATATACGAAACCACCTGTTACAAATAGTAGGCAAACACCGTCTGTAAGAAATAGCCAAAGCAAGTGAAACCATCAAGATATTTGTATGCTTGTAGAAGAAACTTAATCAGCGTTCTACTGTATTATTAATTCACTAATTCTCAAACCATATCATAACCGCTTTGAACCAATAGACATATATATAATAATCTCTGGCTTTTTTAAGACTCAATTTACGTTTTCATTTCTTTGAATCTTAATCAAGCATTATCTATTCATTGCGCTGATTCTCTCCACTTGAAATTTAAATGTACTTGATGATTTTCTTCCCCTAGTTCAGAGGAATCGAGTTAACATCAAAACTGAACTCTGTAAGTTAGGGTTCAGTCACTTATCAGTATATCACGTTATGTCAGTTTGTACCTTTATTTTTGACATTTAGAAAAAGACTGATTGAGCGAAGAAACATATTCCTTTTCAATTGGGTCTTCAATCTTGGGTTCTATACTAATATATAGGTACACAATTTAATCGAATTACCAATCACGTGATGATGTTTCGGAAATAATGATGTAAATAATCAAGAGTTACTAAAATTGGAAATACGAATATTGATAGAAACGAGAAAGGTTGCGCTAAATTAGTTCCAGAACCGGTTAATAGCAAGAGTTAAAGCTGCTTTTAAAATGCACATCAGCATTCACTGGGTATGTTTACCGTAAAGCACTGTCTGTGAATAAAAATACACTCGTTAAAATTTTCGCCTTACGAACGATAGTGTAAATAATATTCCATTTTCTGAAAATGGTCACAAAACAGCATATTCACACATGTGTTAAAACTGAAATAATTCGGCTGATGAGGCCTACTGATTGAGAAAGGCGATTTTAAATCAGGCAGTAAGTGTTACTTTTTCTAGGTTTACAACAATACGTTAAAAATACTAGTTCACTAACGTGAAAAATATCGATCTGAGTGAGTCGTTGAGTTGAAACAGAAAAATTAATCTGTTATGAGGATGATACATAACCTTTGAAAGGCAGTATGAAGTATTAATTACAAAGTACCTGTAAAACGCTGACCTTAGATATTTGGCTATAAAAATTAATGTTTCTTTTCAGTGTTGCTTTATCGCACACTTTCTCAAAATGTAAAACGAATTGGCTGTCAAAACCACATTCTAGACCTTGAAAATCCAATCATTTGATGAATGTAATGATACCATGGCAACAAAGACTTAAACCTAGGGAGCACGGTAACTAATACTTATTAAATAAAAGGTATATTCAAGATTTTGTGTAGGCTGAAAATTTTGTATGTGAATTGCTACATTCCATGTAATTTGGCAGTGTATTCTGTAATACGGTAATCAGACTCTACTACTGGAGTAATCGAGTTATAAAGTGTATAGTGCAAACGGATTAGTAGTTTCAATAGCTAAAGTATTTAACGCTGTTGAAAATAGAAAATACCTATTCCGCTAGTTTTATTTTTGTTTATTCACTAAATCATTGAAACTATGACTGATGTATGAAATAACCTAATACAAGTTTATATGATAGTAACCATAGCAGTTGGTTATTTAAATTCGAAATATACATAATATAAAACATCAAATAGGTTTCAATTCCTTCTTTTCTTATTTATGCTCTACTTTCATATATATTTATGAATACTTATAGCCTGAACACCTGTAATTATATCCAGAAATGCGAACATTCTAGAGCAGAAAACTGGTATAGAAAAGAGGTGAATAGGAAAATTAAAGAATTATTAAAAAGAATATCATAACACAGCTGTTAATACACATACATCTCTTTATGCTGTTCATAACAGTTAAAGTTTGAACTTAGAAATAAGTATTGACGGGCAACAGTTTACACTATATAAAGTGGTTGTATGGATGATGTTTCTAATATACATTATAAGTAGTTCAAAATTAACGTTTAGATTTTTTTTATACAAAAGTAGGAAGATTAATGTGAAGTGTTAGCTATTTCCACAGTGTAACTTAGTACTTGTTTAGGCAGTAGAATATGAGTCATAGGGAATCATGACAGTATCCAGTTGATTAGGTAAAAGTAGAGTGCTATTGATGATTAAATGATAAGATCAATGCACAACAGCTTTACACTATCATCATCATCATCAGCAGCAAAGGACCACGCATTACTGAGTAACAGTCCCAGTTGCCACACCTCACAACAATACATCAAGTAAAAAGGCAGTGAGGCACAAGATGAAGATAACAAAATTCAGTCAAAAGAAATATAAAGTACGAAAAGAGAGAAAGGAATAGTGAGAAAATGATGAAATTCGGTATAGCGTCATTAAGATGATGATAATATATGTATACATCTGAGCCACTGACATCGGTTCTAAGCCATCTACAGTCTCCAATCACTGAGTGAGTGGACAGCGATAAAATATTAGCTTAGTGAGTAAAGTATGCAAATATTAATATGTTCATTTGTTAGTGATTTAAACAAGTTTGAACAAATTTTTTTAAAGAGGTATAAATTCAAGAAATGTTGCACAAATCTATATAAGGACTAGAGATAACGTGGTGTCTCTGAAAGGTTATCTATTTAAATACCGAATGATATCAAATAAAAAGCATGTTTAAACTAAATAAAACCACAGCTTAGACAGGTGATTACTTAGAAGATACTACTTAGATAACTAAAAACTGTTATGAAAAACGCGTACAGTACAATAAAATATTTATTTACATAAACGTTCATTGATTTTAGATACATTTTAAACTTTATTATTATCATTATTTTCCCATCGGTTCCTAGTGGAATATAGAGCTTCAGTAACACACCTCCATTCCACTCTGTTCTCTGCGATCTTTTCAACCTGGCTCCACGACTGCCCACAACCTTTCATTTCTTCCTCACATGATATCCTCCTTGTTACCCTCGGATGCCCAACTCGTCGTTTCCCCTTTGGATTCTACCCGACCGCCAGGTGGTGGTGTCCCCAATAAGCCTTCTCTGTGTATGTCCAATCCATCTCCACTTTCTTCTGCATATTTGTTGAGTGATAGGTTCTTGGTTGGTTCGTTGCTAGCTAGCCAGAGTCCCTTGTTGCTTATTCTTTCTGGCTATCCATCTGATCTTCAGTAAAGAGTGAGCATAGGTGGCAGCTGTTGATGAATGTCTGCAGTTTGTCAGAAATGTTTTTCGTAATGCGCCAGGTCTCTGAACCATACAGAAGCACTGACTTGACTGACATTAGTATTGAAAATCCCGGTCCCATTTTCGGTGCTTAGTGCAGTAGATCTCCACACTGATTCCAAATTATTGAAAGCCTGTCTTGCTTTTCCTATCCTGGCTCGCTTTGACGTCCTCATCTGTGCCGTCACCTGTAGTTGAAACGATACTGCCTAGGCAGGTAGGGAAATAGACGTATTCCTTTAAATTTCTCCCGCTGATGGTCACTGATGCTTGTTGTTGTTGTTGGTGGTGGTGTTGGTTGGGTATCCTCGTTACCTTTGTCTTCTCTACACTCACCTAATAGAAGTCTCGTCTTCGCTGCCTCGCCTCTTCTGCCAACTTGTTAGTTTTCGCCTGTAGATCTTTGAGTTTGTGCGACAAGACATTAGACATAAAGCATCATCAGCGGCGGCGGCGAAATCCAAATCTTCTTCTAGGCTCTTTTCATCGATTAAACAACGTATGCCCATCTTCTGGCTCCCCACGGTTTGTTGCATGATCCAGTCGATCACAATCAGGAAGATCATCGCTGATAGTAGGCAACAGCCTTGTCTTACTCCTGTCTTCACATCAAATGCATCACTGAGCTTACCATCCCACCTTAAAAGTACTGTTATTGAACACAAAAATTTGCTAATTAACTTTATTCTCAAATTACCTCGTAATAGTAGAACTTAACTGAAAAATGTGATCTTGCATTGTACTTTTTAATGAACTCTGTTTTATAATTTGAATAGAATCACTGTAATTCTGTTGAAATTAGAAATTTAAATAAGATTTTCAAGTGAAATGGATTTGATGTACATATTATCTACCTTCCCGTAAAATTAGAACAATTTATCGCTCTTAACTTACTCGTTCCCATTTCATGATTGGAATTTCGGATCTTGTTTACTTTAACAGCTTTAATAACTTGTTACTTTGTCTGTGTTTTTCTACTATAAGCCAGTGTAATAATAATTTAAATTGATTCTTGTACGAGATTCAATATAAAACTCTTCACTATTCTGGTTTCGAGATATGGCACCTTTTCTCAGCAGTCTACACTTAGTAACTGTGAAACAAAAATGAGATTACCACAGACTGAAGTGTCGATAAGCAGATTTTAAATCCATTGCAATATATTTCGTTGCTTTCGGAGAAATCTTACAAATCAGCACCACACACTTCTGTTCCTAGCTCGATTCCTCAGTAGTGATGGGACTTAAACAATAGATCATCTTGTCAGTTACGAACTTTAATTGCCTGGTTCCCCTAGACACCACCAGAACACCATGCTAACAAAATGCCATAAGCTGGTAAGGCATCTCGTCTGTTGCAAGCGCATACCGAGTCACTGCCGACTTCGATGTGAAATGTTAGTCGAAAGAATATTGGGTTGAAAGAAGACTAAGAGTAGTCAAATCCAGACGAAATACTAGTCCATGAAATGCTTGACTGTTGCTTTGAGCCATATACGGACGTGCAAATGCAACATGCACATGCAACAGCATTTCTAACATTAGGTACATTTCATTTCGAAAGGCTGCATACAAAATTTTAGTTGAAATCTGTTTTAGGTTAATGGGCATTTTTATTTTTGAGGTAGTATTCACCATGGACTGACATCAATTAGAGAACCATTGACAATCTGGGACAACCATGTTATGTTGCGAATTGATAGAGGTAGAAAACTTCGGACCACTAAACTCTAACCCAGTGGTTGGATTGCTAACGCGTTCGCCGTGAAACCCAAAGGTCCTGAGTTCGATCCCTGACGGGTTGGGGTCGTGGGTGAGTACTAATGAGAAGTCCCATATCAGGACGAAATGCCTGACCAATGCTCTCAGGGTCTTTAATGTTTTTCCAACTGATATCAGTTCGTGATGAATATTACATTGAAATATGTTTTATGAGGAACAAATTACCTTTAACAGGTAAACTAGATTTCTCTAATTCAGTCTACCCCACCACTACTACGCTTCTTTCCGAAGACCCTAACAGATGTACGATATACCGGAATGTATCGAAGAATTCCCAAGAGTTCCCTTTTGTTTGCCTGCTGTTATCAGAAATACAGTCACCAATTTAATTGTTTGTAGAGAAATAAACACACTATTTATGAATAAATATCATGCTGCGCATCTAAACTATGACAACCTTTTCTGAAAGGGTTCTTTCGAAAAATAATCAAATAAAATCGACCAATCAGTCAACGATATGACTTTATGAATAAACATATTCAGTTTGACTATTATAATAATTTGATGTTAACGATAATGGATAAGATATATTTTATGACTGCATATCTTTGAATGGACAGTTGATTGATTGATTGACTGATTGTATAACAGACAGGCAAGAACAATGTAAAACCTGATACAATAACAGACATTATCTAATACATCTAAGGAGAGCTTGAAAAACAAAAACTAGAAAAACGATAAAAGATGGAGAATAAGCACGCATAAACAACAAAGCGCTCAGGTTTCATAAAACAGTAAATAGTAGATAAACTCTGGTCAGTAGGGTAGAATTCCTTTCAGATGATCTGAAATCTCAGAGTGTATACTTTAACTGTACCGGAGGATCTCACCCAAAGAGATTACATCTCTAGTAGACGTTAGTTGGTTGGAGGCAATCGGCAGGAAGCCCTGCTCGACCTACATCTCGTGTTTTTTGCCACTCGTCAGCAAGGCGTATCTACAAACTCGACGGAACTGGTGTTCCGCCTGAGATTCGAACCCGCGTCACCCAGTGTTGTAGCCAGTGACTTTACCACTGAGCTATTCGGGCCGCGATTGACCTCCTGTACAACTGGCTTACATGTATTGATTGATCACGGGAGTGCAACCAATTTCATGTTGTCTGGTCCTGAGTGCAAACGAAATCCTATCGATCATATTCGCAACGTGGCAACCAAGCTAAGGAAGCTCAGCATCGCAGTGCACATTAGTAGATGTTAGTTGGTTGGAGACAATCTGCCCGAATAGCTCAGTGGTAAAGTTGCTGACTACAACACTGGGTGACGTGGGTTCGAATGTCAGGCGGGACATCAGTTCCGTCGAGGTTGTAAATACGCCTTGCTGACGAGTGCCAAAAGGCACGAAACCTGGGTTCAGAGCTTCCTGCCGATTGCTTCCAAACAACTAACATCTACTAATGTGCACCGCGATGCTGAGCTTCCTAGCTTGGTTGCCACATTGCAAACATGATCGATAGGATTCGGTCTGGACTCAGGATTAGACAACATGAAATTGGTTGCACTCCCGTGACCGATCATTAGATTACATCTCTTCAGACACCTGTTCACCCCATAGATTTGTGTTATTTTCATCTTTTTCATCGCTTTGAGAGATAGTAGTGTCCAAGCCATACCATTATATACCACAAAACTGGTCCACAAACTCACCAGCTGTTTTACTTCTTTACTGCTCGCCTTGTCCAAACAGAAATTTACACACAAAAGCATTACTAGGCGGCGAAAGTGGCTCACACCACACAAACATATCTGCATACACTAGAGCTGTTATACGAGTGATTTACTATCTGAAAACTGACAATAAAAGCCATAGTTGATAATACTACGAAGAATGAAGTAACAGTATGATCAGTCCAACTTGATGATACTTGATGAACACTACAGATGAAACTAATAGACAAATGAAATAAAAGGACTATTATTATCAATCTTATTAATGGACGAATGTGTATGCTTTTCAAAAGTATGTTATGAATGTACTATATGTACGTATATGGAGATTCCCCAATTCTAAGGTAAATCATTGAAAGCGAAAATCAAAAAGCTAAAGAGGAAAGGATAATGCCTGACAATGTAGAATGAGCACACTGATAATCAACTAAAGAAAAGTGTACAAAATCTATATAGTTTATAGTGTGTCGGAGAACTAAACTATGAAATATTAAATAATTCTTCTCATAAATATGATATAAATACTACAAGCTGATAAATACGTTTGAAATAATCATCAAAACAATTACCTCGAAATGATGCAAAACTGTTGTTATTTTCAAGATCTACTTCCTGAGATCTAATGTGATTGATCAATAAATCAAGATGATCATGAATAGGTTCAATAACATGTGTAAGTATATTTTGAATATAAAGATCTGTAATATTGCAGTGGCTGAAAGTATTCAAAGAAGAAGTTGAACTCAATGAATCTAAAAGTATGCAGTTAGCTTGTTTAAAACAACTAATTGAACACTGAATCCAACCAGGAGAAGATAAAGCTTTTTGGAAACTAGATATTTCATCAGCAGTATCACTGAACGTGAACTTAAGAATCATTGATTGAATAAGATAATCACTTAACTCTTTATGATGGACATGCTCATTATTATCAGTAGTGTACGATGATAACATGCCACGGATTGACCAAAGAATCCAAAAACTGATAAATATATCCAGGAGATCAGAAGAATTTTCGTCGATCATCAGCCACAAATGATTCAAACTGGAAGACAAATGCTTCTTAATATCTGTAGAGAAGAAAAAATACGATAAAGACTAATAGGAAGAATGAATCACATGACAGATGTGATGAAAGACAATTATGAACAGGCAGAGCATAGCAACGAGAATGAACAGCAAATTACTTAGGAAGTGAAAGAGGTAACAATGAAGGGATAAGCAGTGGTACGATTGAATACACCACGAACATGAATCACCCTATCTCAAGAACCTCCTCGTTCAAATTCATCCATAAAGTTAAAATAAATCTCCCGAAGGCTGTATGTCTTCGTATTCTCTGCATCGCCGAAGCTCTTGCCATCCATATGAAGAAACCTGAATTGTGTATGCAGCAGAAGATTGTTTAACCTCTTCTCCTTTCACGGTCTTAGTTTTAAGTCTCCTCTACCTCCCCCCCCTTACCCCGCCTTTTTTCTTTTCATTTTTTCGGTTTTGACACTATTTACTTCCTAAGTAGTTTGCTATTCATTCTTGTTGCTATGCTCTACTTGGTCACAATTCAGTTTCCAATTATGTTGAAAGCCAATTATCACTTTATTCACTTTTATAAACGTTTATGAAATTCGAAAAGCGAGTGATGTGTCACGGTCACTATTCACCGACATACGTGAGTATCCCTTATCACACTTAACACAATTAGACTAAAACGTCCACGTTTATCACTTCGACTACAAGGAGCTTCATTCAAAATGTTTCACTTATAAAATCTAGAGTCTTAGGTGGCAAGTAGAACTGAGGTTTCAGTGTTTTTCAACACTAACAATAAACTGGGTGGGAAATGGACAGCTTAAAGAGTGAACATTTTTACAGGCTGAGAGTGTAACCTTATACACCAAGACTCAAATAAAATATCTCTCGAGACCTAAGGAGGAAAAAACGCCAACAAGAAAACAAGTCAACAAAACATAGGCTGATCACTTGAGACATGTGAATGTAGCAGCACTGAAGATCCAGTGACAAAAAACAATCACTGGATAAGCCACGGCTACCGTAAACCAAGCAGAAAGTATGTAGTGTTTCGGAAGTTAAAATATTGGATTTAATGAGAATATCATCACTGTAGGACGGAGACACTCAAATATTGAAAAACACAAGTGATATACACATATATGCCGAATATCAAAAATCCATACAGTAATACAGATGTGACCAAAAGGAGTAGCAGAGGAATTCCGATGGTACTTTAACAAAAGGTCTAACCAGTGACAGTGAATAGTGCTGCGTAATGAACTCTAGATGCAAGAGACAACGGCGACAAGAAAGAGTGGAGAGATCAAGGGAACCGGTGCACAAACGTTAATGACCATAGCAGAGAACGAAAATCTGAAGTTCAATCTCAAATGAGACGACCAGATGGAGCACTCTGAGAAAAAGTTCAACTGGCCTCCAATATTATTCCGTTACTCGCCACCCAGTTACATTCTAAATAGAACACTGAAATAGGCTCTCTTACTCTTGCAGAAGTTGAGAAGGCTACAAGTAACCTGAAATGAGGAAGGGTAGCAGAACCCGAAAGACTGACAGTAGATGTATTTAGGGAGGTTTCCAGATTATTATTAGTTAAAATGAGTGAAGTTGTAGCTACCGTATGCGGATCAGACATGATTACCTGTGTCTGGTCTCAATCGCTGATTGTCTCAGTTTTCAAAGAAGGAAAAAATTCTTTGTGTGACAACCACAATGGAACCAGTCTGACAAAGATAGTATCTAAAATTCTAGGTACGATGATCATTTATCCCCTAAGCGAAGCTCAAGGAAGAGAAAAAAAACCGGTCGTGGGTGTATCCACTAAATCTTCACCCTTCCACTAGGTCAAGAAACACGGACACACCTACGTGTCAGACACTAGCTGTACTTCTTGACCTGAAATCTGCTTCCGTCTTCCTCAGGCACGAAGTCTTTTTATAGTGTCACGGGAAAAAGCCTCGAGTGAGTGCATCATCCTGTTGAACGCTTCATATTGGTAAGCGTGTCATCATTTTAAAGACCGTGGTGGTTACAGACTTTGAGTAATACGACTCAGAATTTGATTTCAATGGAGTAGATGCATCCACACATTATCTAAAAATGGTCGTCTTACCGAATTTACCTATGGTCTCATTTCTCGACTTTCCGCCACTTTGTTTATGTTTTCTGTCTTGCATCACGGTGCTCTTCCTATAGACTGGGATGATAAGAGAAGTAGTCCAGTATGTTGGCACTACTTCTGATTCCCATACAATACTTAGTACATTCATCAGTTTCATTAGCGACTTCTTATCTCCATCGTTGAAAACGTCAGGTGGCAAACTATCATGTCTTGCTGCTTTGTATCATTTCAGGCTCCATACAGCTTTGTCAACCACAAAAAGAGTTCGAGGACAGACACCTATGTCCCATTCAGGTTTAGGCTAGATGTTGAGTAACTGAAGCGTTGCTTATGACCAGTTAAACTGTGCTTTAAAGTGTTCTGCCCAAAGTTCTAGCCGTTTACCCTGCGATGTTATCAGCGTCCTATCCTTTTCGATGATGGCTGTCATAACCAATGTCTTCTTCTTGCCGGTGACCCTAATAGGCCGAAATAGTTGCCGGGTGTCAACTTAAGCTTATGCCTTCTCCATCTCTAGCTTTATCTACCCTTTACTACTTACGCTTATTGCGAAGACTCTTATTCAATTTACGCCTAAGCTGTTTTCGCTCTTCATAGAGGTCAGAGACAGCTACAACCAGTCCCCTCGCATAGATTAGTTCCAATGACGTTTGCTAACCTGCTGTCTTAACCGCCGTTTCTACAGCCGACTTAATATCACAGCAAGTTCCTTCAGGATGAGCATTGCTGTTACGTTCAGGTAGACGCTTACTTGACTATTCTATGAAAAATGCGTACTTGAAGTTCTTATCTTTCAATCGACCATAGATACTTTACTATCACCTGTTTCCTGAGACCAATCTGACGCAGACAAACCCGAGCTCGTACTAGTGCGTGATCGGAGCTCAAACAGATACCCAAGAAAGAGTGGCGATCCTCTCCAACAGTGGTTTGTAGCATATGATTTGTCTGTGTCCATCGCTGACTTGAAGTCAGTGGAGCCCACGTAAGACCATCTTTTCTCGTGATTAAAGTTAATGCTGGCCAAAAACAAAAGATTATCGAGACAAAATTGCAACAGACGATCACCATTATCAGTTCGTTGGCATAGGATTCCATAAATACCCCCAATAAACTTTTCTGATTAGCCCAGCTCCTCTACTTGTGCCTTAAAGTCACAAGCCATTATGATTACAGCTGAACGCTCTGCTTTCTGTGACGAAATTGACAGCTCCTCACAGAATTCATCTTTTGCATAATCTGAATTGCACTCGCTGTGTGCGTTGGTAGAGATTACGAGTAGGCATCGCCTAGTCTCAGATCAATTCAGTCAAAAAACACATGTATGGCTATTAACTGGTATCCAACCAGCAAGTGCACTTTCTGTTCGACAACTCAATGAAAGGCTAGTTCTTCTTGAGGAGTCTGAAAAAGAAACAAACATTTCTCCCTTGATAGGAACTTAAAGAAGCAAGTGTCCCATCAGCATATCTCGTTGGGTCATTATGAAATGCAAGGTCAAACCATCACGTCAAGGCAGCAGCTACCAGTAAAGACATGCAGATGACAGATACTTTTAAGAAATTATCCAGTGAAAAACACACTGGTAAAACTTAGGTAGATAAGGTAAATTTGCCGGTAAACTTGTTAAACTTAATCCACCAGAGTGGTTAATACATTCAGTGTGACTGTTCAACCACTGTCTACCTTAGTAACGGATTTTAATTATAGATATATGGTGGGTTAACCAAGAAACGGTTTCAATTCTCAGTGTTATTACCTGTCTGCATAGCGCGTTATAGATATTAAAAACAAACTCAACTCAGTCCATTCCATATTACACAGATATTTTCCAAATTATGTTTGCATAGTATTCTGAGGATGCACCCAAGTCAGATTGCAGATTAAGGTATTATGATATTAGAAATTGGTTATCAAAGATATGCGGTGACATATTTCAGTACTGATGGTAATCAATACATTTTCATTTGCTTTTTAACTGGGTAAAAAAAAAAAACACTTTCACCATTTCTGATATATGCTTTTATTACTTCTGATTTTCTTATCGTTTAACTTGAACTGATTTTCTACCGTAGTTAACATGGAGCAATTAATAAAATAACTGATTATCATGTCAACTATTTTGTTGTCCCAGTCAATTACTGTCTTTAACTGTGTTCTGCTATTCAGTACTTTGTCATTCACAAAACAGTGATCAATGAGGATATATATATATATATATATATATATAAGTCCAAAAAATAGTGAAACGTGAACTGTATACTCGATGACTGACCAATACCACAATATTGTAAGACGTAAAGTCAATTTACAATAAAATGATGAAAATAATCGGTAAAAAGATCATGAAAAACTTACCCATCAAAAAGTATGCATCAGATTTGTTCAACACAGAAGCATATGTTTGTGCAAATATTGATAAAAGTGAATTCGAACAACAAAATAAAGATGAGGAGGATAGAAAAGATTCTTTTGTACATAATTCATGATAAAAGTCAGTAAGTGGACAGGATTTTCAGATTTTATGACCTAAAAAACAATATATACATTGATCATAACACCATAGCTGAAAATAAACAAACAATAGGACTACATATATCTGTCATAGATAGTGGCTAACAGTGGAAAAGGGGATGGGCGTGGCTATTGTGACTTGGCAGCCTCATGGGTAACGCTCTGGCATTTGAAGCGATCGGCCCCGAGTTCAAGTCCTAGCTGAAACAATATCGCTCACTCGGAGGCAGGTACATTTAGCTGATGAGTCCTGAAACGGATGAAACGCGCGTGTTACATTCAACTACTAGCCACTACCAATCGTTAATATGTAATTCAACCACAGGCAATATCAAGGAATCCAAGCAGGAGCCCATATGCCAATAGAGACCAGTCAATTCGGTACACTCAACGACAGGATAATACAAGCAACAACAACTAAACAACAGGATTTTCCACAATGATTTCGATTTTTGTAAAATTGAACGTGATTTATACATGATCATGAAAAAAGATAAACAAATTGGCTTATAATTGAATTGGCAAGCGATGTATGTCAATTGGTGGTTTGTGAAGGGTGATTGCTTTCAATGTAGCTTTTTATCACGGATCGACACCATTTGATAGACCATTGAAAACCTGGTAGCACTGAACAGTCGTTCTGTCATAAAATGGGACTTCTCATCAGTATGCACCCAAAATCACAAGGTCGTCAGGTCTAGTGATGAGCCCATTGTCAATCAGCCGTTGGGTTGGAATTCAGTGGTCTACAGCTTCCTACTTCTTCAAATTAGTGAAGTAGCGCAATCACCATCCAAAAGAATCGATGATTAATTGTTAGTAAATCCAGCTCATTTGACCCCATAGGTCACGACATTTCATTAGAACTTCGAGGAATCTAACCCAAAACAAGTGATAAACGATCGTTTGATATCATTCAATCGATGATTTTTAAGGACTGAACAATTTAAAGGCAGTATTCACCACGAACTCACATCATTTAGAAAACCATTAAAATCCCCCAGAGGAGTGGATACTGTTTTCATCCTAAACAGTTCACCAGTATCCTCAGGTTTTTGAGTTTCTTTAACCTATGTTAGACTGTAATGAAAACTAAATACATTTAAACGGCTGCTTTTGTAATCACTTCAATTCAGTTGGCATGACTGAATTGTATCCTAAACGCTACTTGTCGCTAAAACTGATTCAGTGACAACGTTTCAGAAAATCTTCACATACATCTACGTTGCTGAAAAGCGAACATTTTTTCGGTCTTATCAGTGCTATCTACGAAAAACCTTTACGATTTACGTGTCTTCAGTTAGCTACTATTTAACATCACGCTTGGAAGTATATTAAAGTTTCAGTCACATGGGATTGTATCACAAGTTTCTTTACACTCTTTCGCTGATTGTAAACTCATCTCTTCATCGATCCTGATATCTAGACTAATACGCTGTTCGCGAGTTTTCTTTCCATACACTACTGAATAATAAATATATTGTAGTTCATATTGATTATCATTATACGTTACTACCGCTTGATCGTATTCACACTAGTCAGGAATTCTCATCCAAATCCAACTGAATCAGAGAGGAGAAGCATCATATTGATTATCATTTGACTATCTGAGATAGCCGCAGTTTGGCAGACTCATCTCACTTCCTACCATCACCCAGTACAAAGTGTAATTCATATTATTTGGAATCTCTAAACGAATTGTAGTCTAGACTCCATCACTTTTCAAAAATCGGTGATTACTTATGTTTTTGAAGCTCAAAAACTGAAGAATGTTATGCAGACAGTTTTAACAAGACTAGACTAGACAAGTTGATAAGATCAAAATATTTTATTGAGTAAAGTGGTTGGCGTCAGATTTTAGGAATGTCAAGCCGCTGACCCTCCTTACAAACCCTTTTCGGTTAGCTACATTAATATCAGTCTATCAGAGAGTGTAACTATGTGTATTTCAATGTACCAAGAGATGAGACACGACCATTTTTTAACACCTACTGATACTATCTGATTGCTCGAACCTAAATAGGTGATGCAACGTACAAACATGTGATCATATCCTTCAACAGTAAAGCGGTTGGATCAATGAGTAACAAGCTTCATGCACGGTAAGCAGAATACCAGAAGCCTGAGAATATTTGATCAATTTGAGAGCGTGCATAAACCCACGAAATAAGTGACAGTCATTCTAAACCATGTGAGCAAACGAAGTCTCTATGGCTGAAAAAACTGAAGTAGTATGAACTGGTGACTGAACAGAATGAAAGATAAGTATCAGAAATGCTACTAGTTCTTGCAGTACACCGTACATGCTACCAGCTAAGCGGTTTGCTTTGACTTTTGTCTTTGAAGTCTTCCTGTTGGATGGTTATGAAATGCAGAAATTTTTAGCTATACACTGCTGTATCAGGTTTATCTGAAGATCGAAGTATCAGTAATCAAAGTTATTTCACGAAAATTATCATATTTGGTGTGATCTCACTAACTTACACATAGCTAACATGTTTCCTTTCAACAAGTATAAAGTATAAACGAGAAATTCATGGTCATAAACTAGTAGTAAGGAGCTATTTCTTATAGGAATAGGTACTCAATCTAAAAATAGTAGGAAATGCGTTTCAGTCTTGTTTCACTCATCGAAGTAAGAGCAGCCACAAATATCACAGCCATATGCTTAGTTACTTGTTAAATAAGGCTTTACTTACTTTTCAGAATGCATATATAATATTTGTTGCGTTCATCACAAATATTACCTTGTAGATAAATACCAATGAAGAGAAGTCCAAAAGGGGTAGCAAAGATTGTTTACCGGAAAATTAAAATCAGTATTGGCACTAACGTTTTACTGGTAAATTCTCTTTTTCGTACACTACTGATGAATATTCGTCTGGCGATGGTTACCATCTCGTGTGATTACCAACGTTGCCATATATATATTATATATATATATATATATATATATATATATATATTATATATATATATATATATATATATAAGTTATGGTATCATTCCTCGAGTCGCTGAGATCGACAACAGGAAAGCCATTTAACAGGTTAGATACCGAAACACATACGCGAAGGTAGGACCGATTTGCAACGACAACCTAGACAAATTATAGATGCTCTAAGTCGGTCAATAAAACTTTGATTAGTCCATAGAATCAATTTGATTATAGTAGACAAACTTCAATCAATAATGTAGGCCACTTACATCTGGTTTTAGTCCACAAATAATTCCACATATTACTGTAAACAAACCCATATTTACATGGTAGGTCTGGAAAATAAAGAAATTAATGAAAATTAGTTCGGTACAACTAAGTTATATTTTAACCTTGCATATATAACTTGGCTTATGATCCAGGCATCGAATCAATATAAACCTGGTTACTTACGAAATCCAATTCCGTTGTTAGCTGTCATTTACCTTAGCGCATACTATTGATCAAAGTGAAAATAGTGAAAGCTATTCTAATCACAAATTAGGATCCTAAATATAACAATGAGAAGAGATTAAATGTGTTTATCAGAACAAATTCGACTATAAAAAAGGACTGATAATAATTTTCATATTCCTTCTTTGAAACAAAATAGAATCGCTCAGTAGGATTATCATATTTTTATTTATTCTAAGCCGAATAGTCTAGTAAAAATAGTGGGATGACAGTGGTTGGTTGTTTCTCTAAACTTCAGCCTTTCTTAGCCGTGGCATCTCTACAATGTTGACTGAAGTAACAATTAAGACCAAAAAGGAATCTAAGGTGAGGAAAATAACATCATTTCTTGGTATCGCTAGCTGTTCAGGACAGAAATCCTAAGCATGTCAGGAAGCGACGGTTGAGGAGGTCAGGCGATTTTTCTCACAACCAATCATGGAGAGGTAGATGTATCCATTGTTTATTTGTCTCTTGACTTTTCATATACTAATGTTTCTTATTCATTGTGTCTTCCTCTTTATTAATCTTAATATTTTTCTAGTTTTTAGAATTATTCTGTGGATTTTGTTGTTAAGTCTGACAACTTGAAACAATTCACATTCGTGCAAGAGGCTTTTTTGTTTTTTCTCAAGATATTCAATATAGTACACTCATGGCTTCTCTTTAGATCAAGCTGATTATCATTGAGACGAACAAGAGTATTTTTTAAAGAATAGGGTTATTAGGCCATCCCCATGGAAAACTGAAGTGTTGTCACACGCATTTCCTGAAATATTCCTATTGTATATGTGCATAATTTAACATGAAGGGCAAAGCTAGATACCTAAAATTTTAAATTCCAATAGTATTTGTAACCCATTGAGACTATACATACATGTATAGTGAGAAACTGTGAATTATAGGATAAAACAGGTATGATATGAGGACTGATGCGGGACAATGATATGGAATAATCCCTGTCAAGTTGTGCCAGTAATCTTAATAAAATTGGAAAATAACGATCACTGCACTGTAAGTAGGCGAAGAAGACCCTTTTCAGTGAATTTATTCTTAAACTGTAAGACATATGACGACTGCAACCCATGAGGAAATTTAAAGTTAAATAGTAGATGATAGAAATAACAATAATGATGATTATAATTATAGTAATGTTGCTAGTTGAAGATATACAAAAAGAGGTTACGGAAAAGTTTTACATCGTTCATATGGTGCTTACGAAGGGGTGAAAACACGATGGAGTTAACAAATAACATGAATGAGATAAGTTAATGGAGATGAAATGAATGTGTTTTGTTAAAAGTTTTAATTATTAAAGATATTTGATAAAATGTGAAAATAGTAATGATGATAATGACAAGAGTGTAAAGATTAATGTAATAAAAAGGGAGAAAGACCAGGGTGAATACAAATTTCCTGCATACTCCTATTGCACACAAATAGCATGCTTTAGTTCATGAATAACCATACAGTCTGTTGTAGTTAAATACCCTTGTCAATATTTAAACAAGCATATTCCGAGCTAGTTTTATACAAGTGAAATTAATGCATTATAAGTTCTATCTTTGAACACTTGACTGATTTCAACCAATCAACAGAGTTAGACAATAATTTCAAAGTTGTTAATTCAATCCTCTCAAGTATTTTCTATATTTTCTTCATTTTTAACTTCTAAAACAAACATTCATGAATTAAAAAGTGTGGTTATGCGAAAAAAAAAAACGGCAATCGGTTATTGCATTTATCTTCTTCCTAATTTTATTGTTTTAATTTGACTTTTCATGTTTCTACTCTTTTGTTGAGAAGAATCCTCTTAACTGAATTACATGTTATTTATACAAGCTCAAGATTCATCGTTAATACACTTTCATAGTGAAAGGTGAATTATCTAAGATCTCACATATGATCTAGGACATGAATTAATGGGAAATTTAAATCGACAATAAAAATACCAATCAAGTGCATCTCTAGTTGCTCTTTAGCTAAAACTATTCATATAACGACAACTATTATTATTAGGGCAACTACTTAAGTGTACACGAAGCTTATGAATGCATTTATACCTAAGATATACAAAAATAGGTTAGCAAAGTAAAACCTAACCGTAAATATTACTTACATCATTTCTATTATCTTTATCAAAGTAGTCTTTATACATATGAAAAAGTAGTAATTGTTCACTAAAAATAAAAAACGAATAAGAAAAGAAAAAATAATTGTCAATTTAATATCTGCAGATCTTATAACGGACACGTTACCGTTTAAGTGTTAAAACGAATAACAATTAAAAATACTCTTTACCATTAGTTATCCTTTATTGTTTTCAGAGATTATTAGTCTTTCAAACGGACTTGGTTGGTTCCAAAGCTCCTTATAAGAATTAATGTGAACAACTCATTTCATCTTGTAAAACTTATTTTTAAAAGTAGACAAGTTGTATAGATTATCATCGAAATAATAGAAGACTGTCCACTATTGAATACTATCGTAGAAGTAAGTTTCATTAGTGTTAGATATGAAGCTGTAAATCTTATCTCTGAGCAGGATATAAGTATGAATGGCTGATAATAGGTCTGAAAAATCGACACTTTACAATACTGATTAAAAATGAAAGTGACAGATGCTGACAATTGAACTAAGAGTCAGCAATCCACCAGTAATACACTGATCAGCATACGTGAAGGTTCAGAAACTCTAATAAGGTGAATTCTACGAAATAAACTGAAACTCTATAATTCTATAATTCATTATGTTCGAAGTTTAATGGATTTTTAATATACTGTGATGTGATAGAGATGTAGAAATCAATCATTCAATCCTGATTTATACTTCAAACAAGTAATATATGAAGCTATTTCACTTGGATTGGACCAACTTTCAAATTTTTTGGCATTTAACAAGACAGCATTTTATACAGTGATGACTAAAACTGATGAATACCATTTGATAACACTTAAAAACAACCTTACTGCTTACTATATCCAGATCAGGAACCGCGTATATAGTTTCACATTACGAAATGAACTATGCATGATTAGTGAGGCTTATGACGTCAAATTTCACCTCCAAACAGGGAATCTCATAAATATAAGGATTAATTTCAGAAAAAGGAAAGCAAAAATCTCAAATATAAATTGACGCGATTCTACAAATAAGATGAAAACTTCTAAAATCAAAAAAGATAACTAGCCATCGTTCATTTTTCATCTTACATCAGAGAAAACGTTATCGTAATTGCAGATTAATAAAACTTACCTTAGTATTACTTATACTACATGGTGCGAATGACATGAATGATGTTAGTCTTGGGTTGGGAAAATGATCCCAATGTGAAAGATTGACGGTTGAAGCTGAAGCGTGGGTTCCACTAAACTTTAAACAGACAGTACAGCAATGAGTGTTTAGGCATGCCAAATCGGATAAAATAGGTTAGCCTATATCCTATCCAGCTGCTGATCATTCAATGGTGCTAACACTATAAATCAGTTAAACTTTGGAAACATTGGTAATAAAATACTGACTACCCAGTTAAAGTGTCAAGTTGTAGTACCAACTTATACAGTCAATCTGTGAAGGATAATTCGATAATTTTCTTGTAAAACACGCACCATAGTTTGGAAAGTGTCTAGAAATTTAATTTGATAACGCTGACATTTTGTTCATCATTGATTTAAAATGTCTTATTTAGAGTTTTATATGAATGAGTTTGGAAGAAGATACCCTCGAATATTTTTGGGTTTATCTTTTTATAAATCCTGAAATATTATAATTATTATTTCATATTTGACAGGTTTCCGCCGAAGTAATCAATGATCGGCGTATTTTTTTTAGAATCGTTTTCATTGAATAGGACAGAAATATTTAAATAATCCATATTAAAGAGAATTATAAACAGACAACATATGTTTAAAAAGGTCTAGACAACAAGACTTCTTTTTCAAGAAAATGCACACAGCTAGAAAAAACAATGAGGACAATTAGGATCCTGGATAAAGGCAATCTAAGTTTTTTTTTAAAAAAAAACCACAGTTGATTAACTTTACATTACCTAACACCCTCAGTTCAATTGATCGAAGAAAAATAGGTAATTTAAGACTTTCAAAATAGATCTAAATGAGGTGAAGTGATGCATAGATAAAATAAGGACAATGATCATGATATATCGATCGTTTTGTCTATTATTATATGTAGTTAAATGGTGTGTAGGTTGATCGAACAAAAAAATGTTTCATTCTGTTATTTTGTCGTGCACATTAAAGGGTAGGATAATTTTTTTGTTGTCCTACACAATATTCTCAAGTCTAAAAAATATTCAAGAATGTAGAACAAATCTGATGATAAATGGTTTTTGCAAATTCTCATCTAATCGGATAAAAAGTATGATGTACTTGAATAAATGTTTTTCGATAGACGCATTTTCCAGTAGACAATTAGTAATACAATGCCTTAAAATCCTGTATTGAGTAACCTGTAGTACTTGCTTCAGGTATGGAAGAAGTTTAAGATAGATAATACTGTTCAGTGTCTTTTTATGAATCTAAGAGTGAAACTTGTGTCCGAAAAGTAATTCAGTAAGTAGTACTGTTCTACCGTGTGATACATTTAATAAATATACTAAAATGGAATTTCAGTGTCTTTCTTTTCACTGGTTTCGCCTGATAATCGCCTGTTTACAGAAAAACAACTTCAGGCACTTCAATTGACCAACATACCAACAAATTATGTGCTATAATTTTGAGGTATATGAAGCCCATCAATAAATGCTACCTGGAGTATTCTCTCCATATTAGTAATAGTATGTGCAAAAATTGATAATGCTGTTGTAGCATGATACCAGAACAAAAATGCAAACACTAAACACCACTGTGAAAAGCCTCCTCCAGACGCTTAACAACAATCATCCTCCAGTTATTTATACGATGGAAGTCGTATATAGCTCGACGTTTCACTTTCTTAACATCCAACTTGAAAAAATATCTCATGATTCCATTCGAAAATCCATCTACAGGAAATCTACATGGTACGAACAGTTAACCAACTTTTAAAGTCGAATATTTTTAAGCAGGAAGAGGAATCTTGTACGTTGTTTCTCGTCAAGGATTAGACAGATATGTAAAGATTAAACTGTAAAGCATGAATCAGGAACTTTTCATGAAACACAATAACAGGATTGATCTTCATCTACATTTATATGTCGCATAAAGGAAATAAAGACGATAACGGAACGACTTCACCTAGCTCAAAAGGAAATCCGTCTTGTGAAAGTTGAATTCAAAGGTGACATCACCATCGATATTCTGGGTGAACGTTTGTCGATGTCACTGAGCTAAACATTCTTTAGTATAAGTCTTTGGACAATGTTTTTCATGCCGGTAGCTGATTCGTCAATATATGAAGGATAAATTCATGCATTTGGTTGCACTATTATGTACCTATTAGTTTCCTTGATCCTGTGGATCCAAGTTTATTGATCATATGACGCAATTGTTTCTCAAACGCGCTCACGAATACTACTCAACGTGCTCATGATAAAACAGAGAGACTATCTACAGCTCCACCGTCGAGTATTAGGTGAATTCAGGACACATGGCTTATCGAAACATTGCTTAAGACCCTCGACAGAGTCCGACTGAACCGTTCAAAACGTGTGAAGACAAAACATTTGCACGCAGTCGAAGAAAACTCAAGTTTCAACCGTGCATTCAGACGAAATATATACAGTCACCCTCTTAAACAGGGGCGTTACAACTGTTGCACTGTAATTATCCAGGAACGAGAAGGATAAATTTATTATCAGACAGCCTTTCTGATTTCGATTTCTGATTTTCTTCCTTTTACTCACCAAATTTCTGCATCTGTTCAGAATTTTGCCCACATTACGTAATAGTCTCACAATTTCTTGTTAGACTAATCTTCACTGGTTTTACTGACATCCACCATATCATCATCATCATTATCAACATAGGACCAGACATTACTGCGTAACGGTCCCACTTGCCACACCTCATATCAGCACATCAAGTAAAAAGGTAGTGAGGCGAAGGATGAAGATAAGTGAATGCAGTCAAAAGAAATATAGAGTACGAGAAGAAAGAAAAGAGGAGTGACAAAATGGTGAGATTCGGTATAGCGTCGTCAAGATGAGGATAATGTGTGTATACATCTGCGCCACTGACATCGGTTCTCAGCCATATCACCTAGAATCTCCAACTACCGGTTTCTCTCCTCCCACCGACCCCAACCACCTAGTCTGCATCGTCCTACATGGCTTAAACCAACATTCAGAGACTTCATACATTGGTACCATGTTTTAGTCTGGCCACCTCAGGCCTTTTTACATCCTGGACCTATTTCGGCCAACATTGTATGAAGAGGCAGTTGGTGACTAGGCATACGTAGTACGTGTCCCAACCATCTCAGTCGATGAAGGTTCACAACCTCGTCGACTGACTTACCTCTTCTCCCCAAAACTCTACACCTAACTTCTGCATTACTCACATGGTGACACCATGGAATACGTCCTATACTAAGAAGGCAACGGTGGTCAAACACCTGAAGCCTTTTTGTATCCTCCACTTTCAATGGCCATGTTTCACAGCCATACAGTAGAACAGAGCGGACTGCTGTGCAGTACATGCGACCCTTAATAGACAAACGAATATCACGGCGGCGCCATAGGTGGCGCAGATTGGCAATCCTCTGGAACTTACTGTCCTTTAAATTACTTTTTTTTACGAACGTACAGTACTGAAAACGAGTTATCAGAAAAGTAATCATCTTCGCTGTAGCTGCCTTTTTATTTTTTTTACTACTAATTGAAAAATTGTTATTGAGTTACAATGAGTGAGTAATGTTTGGAACGAGTGTACAATTTCAACAGTTGCCATGAAGAGTTGTATTTCCCAAATAAAGAGCCATTATCATTTTTTTTAATGATTCATCACTCATTTTAATGAACTGTTCAAAAGAATGTAAATCACTAAGGGGTATGACAAGGTCAAAAAATACGATTTTTTAAACAGTCGTTAATGGTTATGCTGAAAGTCTTCCTTTAGCTGAACGTCTAAACCTGACTATTTTTCACATTCGGATAATCACTATTATGTCTAAGTTTTACTCTTTTTATACCTTTACAGCCTGATTCTATAAGTTTGTGCGCTTGAATTCCAAAAAGTAACGG